GAATTTCATATGTATTGTCTTGTTTAAAGAAAAAGCCTATGCAGCTCATGAGCACATATATTACTATGTCTTAACTATTTCTAGTGTAACTTCCATAATGTTTTCACTGCGGTTTTTTCATGCTGGTTGAAGCCAGTCTTCACATGCTAAAGGGAGAGAGAGTATTTGGCATGTAGGCCCCTTGCCTAAGTGAGGAATTTGGGTACATCCTTTACAGGAATATAATCTCTCAGATGCTCTCATTTTGCTCTATGGATGTTTCTGTCCATTTCCATTATCCTCTTCAGGGAGAGCTTATGGTGTTGACTCTGCTCTGCTGCTTCAAGTTTAGGCATTCCTGATAGTCTTTCAGTTTGGTTGAAATAGGAGCAGAATTTTTAGCACAGATACTCTGATTTGCCACCTTCTGGCATCAGACCTAAATTTAAAATTTGGTGTGTGGAGGGCATGTTGTATCATACTGATCACACAGTTGCTAGGGTTTGTATGGGGGAAAGCACATTGCAAGGAATGTAAATTGCTAATGCAGATGGTGTCACAGCTGCCAGAGAAATAGATTTTCAGAAAACTCAGTCCTGAAATACCATTTTGCTGTCTAACACAGCATTTCCAAGTATGATTCCTTCTAACTATGACCATGATTATTTGCATCAGCGGTAGTGCAAGTGACCACAAAGTAAAATTACTAGGCTACCTAGGTCAGGTCAAACTAGCAAATTTTGTTTCATGGCTTAGAAAGCATCTTTGACTGTCAAATGCATTGTATAAATATTTAAAAAATGGTAAGATGGCAAAGTCAGACGTCAGAGTTAATGGATTAAAAAATCTGCTCTTTTGTCTGTATGAATTTTGATTAGACTTTTCATGACATACGATGTATGTTTCTAATACAGGTTGTGTTTCTCATTCTGATTTGTATCTGTAGCATTGATGTATGTCACTATCTATATAAGGGTTTTTTTAAAACTATTTTTTCTGCTAATCCATGTAATTCAGTACATGGTTCCATGTATTATTTATTGCCCTGCATTCAAATCTTGTACTGAGCACAGAAGTAAGAGGAATATTTATTATTACTATTTAATATTAATAACAAGTTAAAAGAAATGTGGTCACTGTAGGAAGTGACCACATCCTAACAGCCCTTTCTGTCAGAGTATGGCAAGATACTGAATTCCCTTTGAGTCAGTAAAAATTCAAAAGAATTAGAAAATACATAAATGAAATACAATGTTTTCTGAACATCTCCAAGTCTTCACAGTCATAATTTATTATGACTTTTAATACAGGTACCAGATTTTTGGTTGAATTACATGTCTTCTAATAAATCCAATACATCTGTTGTGATTCTCTTGCTTGACCACTCAAATGAGGCACAAGTTAAGCCCTGTGTGGCCATTCTGTCCTCCCAAGGGGACAGTTAGTGCCTTGTGGAATCCAAAACATTTCTCATAGAGAAAGACAGGTCAGTATTTCTGTTGGCCTGTTTGCAAATTAAGTATTTGGTATCAGTTAAAAAAATCCTGTCACTGCAGAATTTTAGATTTTTACTATTGTTGTGGGCAGAATGGGAATCTGGCATGGGCAGAATGGGAGCTTCAAACACAGTTTATTAGAGAAGCCTTCCCTCTGAGTCACGAGGTGCAGAAGGGACCTCTTTGCTTTCCGAACTCCTTCTCAGAGAGGAGTCCAGGCAGAGCATCCTGCTACAACTATTCACCTGCAAATCACATTTTACAGAATGGAAATGAGATTAACCCCAGTTTACCCAATCCAAGAAATCTGAGATTTTACTTCACCATTTGTACGTAGAACAAGACTTTTGTTATAGGTAGTTACAACTGTGAATATTAAGTGTGACTCAGACCTGAACATCTCAAGTTTGGTGGTTAGAAGAGTAGGACCATACAGTTAATGATCAGCTGAAAATGTAATTAGCATGATTTGGCTCATATAGGAATCGTACATACAGTTGCTGTACGAGCAATATGGGAAGCTTTATACAGGAACTCGGTGGCAGATGGAGGGGATGAAGCACAATGCAGCATTGAGCTGTTTTAATCTCATTTCTGTAGGGGCAGACTTGGGTCATACTAGTGGAAGATTTATGCATGTACCAACTGAGCACGTTGATGCTGAAGTCTGAGGTACACAGGTCCTTTATAAAGCCTGTTCAGAGCCACAGGCTTGGGAGAGTTGATGCTCAGGCAAGACAGGGTTGTGAGGAGCTGCCTAAATCTAATCCCACCACAGCCATCTGCCCTGGCTCCAGCACCTGAAGTGACCCCCAGAGATTATCCATGGATCTCAGCTGGAATGACTGAGGCACTTCCAAAAAGGTGGCATAACCTTTTATGTAATAACCGGATGGGAGTCACCTCTCCTTGCTCACCGGGACATATGGTTTGTGGAGTGAGTATTCCTGTAGGATTCTCTTGCCCAGGCTTGTGCTGTTCATGCATTTTACATTATGCCCACAGCTGAGCCACCTTGAGCGCCACACTCAGTAGATAAAATCGAATCCAAAACCGTTTACATTTTACAGATGATAAGTATCAGAAAACAGGTTCATAATGGAAAGGGTAGTACAAAGTTAGCTGTAGATTACCCTGTGAGTTTTCATGGGCAGAGGTGAATGGGGATGGAGCAGGCTGCAGCAAAATGTTCTTTGCTTTGTTTTCAGTTCCACCTAACCTCTCTTCAGAGCCATGGTTGCTGATCTTGTAGCATAAGATCTGGAGGAGAGAATTGTGTCTCTGAGGTATTACACTTGTTTTGGGTGATGATGTGGCAATGAAGTTTGTATTGGTACTATTATAGTTCTCATCCCTCTTTATTTTCCTCAGCTGAAGTGCTTCTGAGAGGTCTTTGCAGAACAGGATACATTTTGGTACAATTTTCAAGAAAGATAATAAATACACCTTTTTAGCAAAGTAAATTGCAAAACTTACAAGTATTATTATCTATGAAGTTATAAATAAATAAGCTGTTAAAGATGCTAATATCTGCAAAGAGGGGGTAGTTAAAAGGAATTTTTAAAGGCTGTAAAGCAAGTAACTGTCAGGTATATACAATCCTAGCTTTGAATTTTTTTCTTGCCTTATTCTGTGTGAAAAAGGATTTGTTTAAAATTGCAATGAAGCAAATGCAGACGTTTGAAAGTGCCAAACCTTCCATATAGGCTGTTCTGTTTCCAGGATCCCTAACAGTCCCAGGAGCCTCAAATGACCTTTGAAAATGCTGTGTAGTTATGATGTCGCTCAGCTGGGCACCAGTAGTTTAGTCTTTGTCATTCAGAAGGGACTCTAAATTAATTAGAGAAATGAGGATTTTGAAGAGATAGTAAAATCATCATTGATTCTGCCAACCCTTGTTTGGCCAGCGTACTTAAAAATGATTTAGAACAAAACAGAGCTCCAAATTCTGTTTTTCCACAGAACTGTTGACAGCGTTCTCTAGTATCATGAACTCGCTTTACACTAGTGAAGCTCATGCAATTTATTTTTCTTTTTGCTCGTGAACCTTGCGCACGGAGGTTTCCTTCCCGCTGGGGCAGAGCTGAAGAGGCGGCTGTTCCCGCTGGCCTGATCCCTGCCGGGGATAGCTGGAAGTCTTGTGCCCTCTTGTGGTGCGCGCATCCAGGGAAGGGGCAGGCAGCAAGCCTGGCATCCTCTGCGTGTCACCTGCTGGGGCACAAACCACCGTGTGTTGGGAAACAAAACGAACGAGGGCACTAAAAATCGTCAGCTTGCCTAGATAAAGACAAAAATACCCATTGTTTCTTGCACAGAGGTAGGTCAGGTAATAATTAGCCCCATTAGCACCATAGTCAATTAATCAATACCAGCAATAAATCTGTGTGACATAACATATCTAAGTTAAGAATCAGAAGAGGCCAAGAAATAATTATTTGATCCAGTGTTAACATGCTAAGGCTGGGAATGTTTTTGAAAGTGGGTGAAAATCTCATTTGATGATTTGGTAGTTTAAAAGGTCAATTTTAGCTGCATCTTCATTAAAATTATAAGTTGTTATTATAAGCAATAATGCGCCCAGTTTTTAAGTTTTTAAGTATATACCTGTGCTAAATTGGAATATAGCCAGCATTCAGCTTATCCTTTTATTGCAGTGCCTGAACAAAAGGTTTGTTCTAGGGAGGGCTCAGTAGCACAGGCAGTTAGCAGAGGAAAACTATACTCAAACAGCCTTTAGCAGAGAAAAAAATATCCAACCAATCTCAGATGTGAGACTCAGGCACTGTTAAAAATATTCCTAATTCTCAGTAGTATGTATGATAATGAAAGAAAAGATTCCTTTTAAAGAGAGGTTCAGGGTAAACATCACTTACTGTGCTTAGGTGTACTGAACTTTCAGCTTTTCTAAAAAATAAAGATTATCTTTTGAGCTATTTGAATTGGCAAGCAGAAGCAGCAAGTGTAATTTCAGGCCCTGGAAAAAACAAAATAGGCAAAGGCTCTCTGGTGGTGAGGGAGGGAAGGGATGTAACTTCTGGTCCTGTAATCAAGGGCAATAGCTCTGGTCTTCCCTCGTTCTCGCCTTTTTCATGGTGACATATCCAAACAAGTCCAGTGTACTCCTCCTGACAGTAAACAGCAGGTTTTTAATATCATTTCAGTGGATAGTCATATTAAGTCCTTTTCTTCCAGCCTTAGATATTCCTTTGAAGAGTGATTGCTTACAATGAATAGAAGATGCCAGCTGGTGGTGACCTTGTATAATGTGAACTTTGAGGACAGTGCTTTTCCAAATACTTCCTCTATTTTATGTGTCCCTTCAGAGAACAGCAGTGGGAAAAATACTGGAAAAGCAGTGGAAGACCTATAGGTCTTGTGGATGTTTTCTTGTGAATGATGTGGTAGCTTCCTTTTCTCAATTACGTAGGATGACTCCTGCACAGATCTTATTACTGAAAAGAGTGCTGGGTGGAACACCTGCTCCCAAATGTTTTTCACACTGTTGCTCTCCTTTGTCCCTTGTAGGTATGGAGAGTGCAATCACACTGTGGCAGTTCCTTTTGCAGTTGCTGCTAGACCAGAAACACGAGCACCTCATTTGCTGGACGTCTAATGATGGCGAATTCAAGCTACTCAAGGCAGAAGAAGTGGCTAAGCTGTGGGGACTGAGAAAAAACAAAACTAATATGAATTATGACAAGCTGAGCCGGGCGCTCAGATACTATTATGACAAGGTAAATTTTGTTATTCTCATGCAGACTAAGAAAATAGAAATGCTACCAGTTAATATTTCTCCTGTCTGTGGAAGCTGTTCAGAAGTTCCTCTAACTAGTCAAGATACTAGAAGGCAAAGATTGTAGAACACAAATGTACAAATATTGTAGAACACAAATCTTGCATATTCACATTTCTCAGTTTTAGACTCCGGTAAACTCAAGGAGTTTCCACACTCTTTTTTGATGAATATTTTATTGTTCTTACTAATTGATATCAAATCTTCTCAGATGAGTTCTTCTTAAATGGATATTTTTCAATAAGATATATAAATTCCAAGTTACTAGGTTTTACTTTTTCCTCTATTCTTTAAGATTAAATGTTAATAACAAAGACTGTTATAGATTTTGTATATTAAAAAGGAAAACTTCATAGCAGTGCTTAGTGGCCCGTTTTCATTTTGATTTTCAGAAAAGTGGGTGAGATGAGATTATATAGTGAGTAATACCTGTGTTCAGTATTACACGATTAGGGCGTTCGCTGCCTGCACAAGGCAGAGGAAAGTAGATACTGTTTCTGGACTGACCTTAGAGTACTGTTGTCATGTATCATGTATTTGTAGTGCTGTAATTCTTGCAGGGCACAGTGCTATGCAGTCAATCTAACACAGCCATCAGAAAACATGTTGACTGCAAATGAACAATGAAAAATCGGATGATCAGACTTTTCATGACCCACAGGGGCTCCTTCTCCTGGAAAAATTTTTTAGTTTCAGATTTGGAGATGTTAGTGTTTTTCCCACTAGAAGTCAGATTTTCCCACTTAATATGTTTCAAAGGTGGCCTGACTGCAAAGGCACAAAAGGATTCAGTAAGGACAGTACAGCTGCTGTTCTGAGCAGTTGGTGTGATGAATCCCCTTCACTAAGTGCTAAAAAGGCTTCTGCTCAGCATGGGGAAGCTTGCTTCGTTATATGACTCCAACCCCTCTGGTTATAAACTTGACTGGGATCAATGGAGACAGAGTGCCTGCTGGTGCATGAACAGCATAGCCAGGCAGAGCCCAAATATGCTCTTAGTGACTGAACAGACGTTGCTTAAAAACAAGGAACAACATATTTGTAACGCTTACGCTTTGAGATCTCTCTGATCTCTTTGAAGTAATGGAATATAATGGCTCCTTACCTGACACTCTCTTGCTTCTTTTATCCCTTAACCTTTTTTTTTTTTAACCCCTGTTCTGTTTTCAGTTCCCTGCCTCCAGCACACACACACACCTTTGTCATCTGTCTTGTCTCTGCTCAAGCAGCATCTGCTGGAGTGGCTGTACAGTTTCTTCATCAGGGTTCTGGTTGAGGCGACTGTTTGCTGTTTGTAGAGATGCTCTTCTGTCTGACAGATTTATCTAAGTGTGGCACAAGGATTTTAGCCATTTTTTCCGGTGTTCTGCAGTCCTGTGGACATCATAGCTTCTAGATGGAAAGAAGGCTAAGTTCTTTCTTCCCCATGTACTGCAATCAGGGTTTGAACCCCAACCCAAATCTATGGCTGTTTCTATTTAAATTGAAAGAGTAACTCCTTTAGAATGAAACAGTGGGAGCTTCTTGCTCTGTGGGTATAGTGTTTTGTATCCTGTAGGTTCCCAGACAGTGGAGAAAGGTGGATTACTGGGAGACTGCAAAGGGACAGAGCAACTTGCTGCAGGTTTTGAGCTGTGAGAGATAATGGCATAAGCTAGCAGATAGTGAATCTTTGTAGATTCCTTTTGTCCTCTGCCTTCAGTTCAGTCTGTACTGCATAGCGCAGAAGGGAAGAAGTCAAGAAAGGGAGGAAAGGCTCCTTGACATTCTTCCTTCCCCCCTGCAGAACAAAAGGGGAAGGAAGGACTGGGGACATGAAAGAGCCTCTCTCAGACTTTAATGCTCTTTTCCATTAGACCATACACCAATTTGTGAAATAAACCCCAAAGCAGTCTAGTCTCTGAGGTAGCCTTAAGGAGCCTTCTGAGATCCTTGTCCCCTCCGTTCTTGTGTGCAATGATGGATGTGTTGGCAGCTGGGGGTGCTGGGGCAAATGGGATGCACACTGAACAAATGGAACAAACACTGAGCTGCAGGTGGGGGAGTGGCAGCAGAAAAGATGAGGCAGAACTCTGGACAAGACTTCATTTGCACTGTGGAAATATTGACAGGGATTTTTCTACCTATAACCTAAGTGATCTGGCAGCGTGTGAGTTTGAGACAAGGGTCAGTGATTTTTTAGAAATTGTGGTAGCACATTGTCTGGACCTTCCTTTCTTGGACTGCCCTCTGCTCTTACTGCATACAGTTGACACTGAACTAATGTTTCATGGTCTATCTTTGAAATTAATCACCATGGAGAAATAAAACCTGTTTGCTGGATAAATGGGCGTTTATAAGCTTTGCCTTTTGCTTGGGGGGACCACTGGCTTGTTAAAATTCATCATCTGATTCATCTGAACTTAAAAGTAAATTAATTCCAGTATTGGAGAAAAATAACACAATTAGGACAAGTTCCTTAGCCTGGCTTTGAAAACAAGCATGACATACTATTGAAGCTGATGGCTAGATTTATGTTAAATTCACATTAAAAGCACCCCAGGAAATGCAGAGTATGGCATGTCTTCATTGTAATTTGCTGCCATGATTATAGTTGCTAAAGGTTTGTAGATAATCTGAAGATGCCATTTCCTGTTTCATTTGTTTCCCAAATTCTTTCCCCCCCTCTAATTTTTATTTAATGCATTTCCCCTATTGCCTCAACAGAGCAGCAGCACAGATGACAGATAGCACTGAGGAAGAGCATCCTGCACTCTACCTGCAGCTTGTGTCCATCATATCACACACTTTTGCCGGTCAGAAATCTCTTGTAATGCTTTCAGGCAAGGAAATGCTTCAGCACTCTTCCCATATGGAGCACTTTAGCTTGAAGTAAAATATCTTCAAAAGTAGGGTTAATAAGTTTCTTTTTTTCCCTCAAGTTACCCAGTTATTTTGTTTTTATCATAGCTGTAATGGCACATATCTTCTGGAAGTCACCAGGGGTTTTTAGACTTCTGAAAGTCCCTATGAATATTTCAAGATGACACCACAAGAGAGAAGCTAGTGAGTTTTCCCATGAGGTTTTTTTTTGAGGGAAGGAGGGTGAATCCAGGAAATTACACACCGATACTGACATTAATAGGATGTAGCAGTTGTGCAAGTCAAGTCCTCAGAAGTTAGGAAATAAAAGAACCACAGTTCCCTGGATAACCCTAATGTTTGCATGAGTTTTGCTGCATCTTTAATTACACAGTCACATACTGTTGTGATGAGCAGCTATTCAATATTTTTGCATTCTCTCTGAACAGTACGTGGCCCGAGGCTTTACTCAGTGAGTGCTATTCAGTCTGTTTCAGTTTTAGTTTCAGTTAATATCTGCCCACTTGTTTAGATGGCTTGGCAGTATGATTTATAGTACTAAAATAATATGGGCTGCTTTGTGCTTATTGCAGTGCAGGGACAGGGCTTCTTAGGTGCTCTCAGGATTCAGAGGTGCCAATGCATTCACTCCCCTCCCATAACAGGTCAAACCCAGTAACCTGGTTACTAGTTTGTATTTTTAATGTCCAAGTGTGGGTGGAAGCATGGAGGAATTGTTTTGGGTTAGGATCCCTTGCTTGGATGCTTACTAAACTTCAGGATATAAAGTGATAATGAAAACTATTATTTTACTTTTGGGAAGGTAAAACATCTCAGGGGAAATATGATCCTACAGTGAAACAATAGCAGTGTGATTGTGCTGGAGTACCAACTATACATTATGTAGTGGTACAGGTAAGAGTTGTTACAAGGAAATACTTTAAGGGGCATTAAAAAGCACCTTTATAGAAAACTGGAAGGAGCTTCATCCAAAAGTGATTTGTGGAAGTGAAGAAAGTGCTTGGCTGAAATGACGTAAATGGTTATATAGTGCTATCCATATGGAAAGATGGGAGTAAAGGATTTGATACTCAGTAAGAGGTGATGGGTAGAGGAGACAACCCAAGAACACCTGCCTCAAAAAGACACATAAAATAGTTCATGTTTAATGTGAGAGGAAAGGGATGAACTGCAGTAGAGAGAACGGAGAACCCGGTCATAGGGGCCAGCCAGAGAAATAGTCTTTATCTTCCAGATGGAGGTGAGTGAAGAAGACTGAAGTCCAGCTAAATTAGAGTCTTGATCTTCCAAAGGTCAGTACAGGCGCACAGTGTAGTAGCACCTGTGCCTGCATCAAAAAGTTACAAAATCTGGCTTCTACACACACAGTGTAATAAGCATAACTGTGTAACTTGTGATGCTAGCAGAATCTGCCTACCTGCACATGCTGATGTGGACACACTCCCATTTTTCTGAGCAAACCATCTTGCCACAGGTACCTCCTGCCAGCATACGTACTTCAGGCACTGGAGTGTGAGCAGCCCTCTGTGTGGGTAGGGGTCCCAATAATTGGAAGCAGCCTGGATAGAGTTCTGGGAGAAATTTGTAGCCTGTGTTCCTACACATGTTGCACCCCTCAGTACCCTTAGAGCCGGGAAATCTGCAACACATCCAAGTGGGACTTAGGAGCAGCAGCTACAGCTCTGGTCTTTCTTCTTTTCTGACCAGGGATGTTTAGTACCTACAGACAAGTTTGTTACACTCTGTCATACATGTTTATATCTCAGGCATCCTTATTATAGGTCACTTCCTGGAAAGAGGGAAAAATGGTCTTCCTGCTCCTGAAATCCCTCATTAGTCTGAAGTTAGATTAGCAAGTGTATCCCATTTCCCAGCTCAGTCTCCCAGGTGGCTCCTGCAGCCAGCAAACTTGCTAGCTAACAGGTTTGGGCCAAGCCACTAAAACCCTTCAGTCACCCTGGTAGTATAGTTACACATTTGTTCTAAATGGCTCAAACACAGAGCAAGAGTCAGAGCTGATAAAAATGAAACACAAACACATGATAGATTTCAGTAGTGCATATACACAGTTGACACAACCCCTCCCCAGTACAGTCTAGTTTAAGCTGCAGGGAGAAGCAGTCCACCGAGCCTTTGGCATCCAGCTCAGCCAGCTGCTCTGTGGAGGACAGGGGCAGAGGAGAGCCATCCCTGGTGATATAGAGCTCTCGGGTGAGGCTGGTTTTGGAAGGGCTCATAAAGCGAGTTCCTGAGGTGCTGGGGTGTGAATAAGGCTGAGCTCTGTAGCAGGCAGCAGGCACCGCTCCACCCGGCTCCTAGCAGCAGCTTTCGGAGCACTTCTCAACAGGAGAGGGTGGGCACGTTTGCTGTAGTCACTGTTTTGTACACTGGGGGCAGAGAAGGGGAAGTGTAAAGTGTTCAAGAAGCCAACAGAAAAGGGGCATTCCCTGCTGCCTTCCCACTCCCTGAGTATCAAAGAGTGCTGTCTGTTGATAGGGGTTTGTTTTGGCTGTTGGACTGGAGCCCCTGCTCTTGTCCCGGCTGCTCATTTCTTCTCTGCAGCAGCTGCATGGACCCAGCAGTCGTGCCCCAGCTCCCTGCAGCCCTGGCCAGCAGCCACTAGCACTCACTGCAAGCCTGTTCATGAGGGAATTTACATAGAAAATTAAAACAACAATAAAAAAGGGCTAAATATTCACCTAGACTTACTGTCCTGCTACCAAGCAAATGGTCTAGTCCTTCTGCAGATGCAGGAAGGCAGTTCTTTGCCCTTTCAAACTGCTTGTTGTGGCGTCTGTCACTGTCTTCTGTGGTTTGAACCACCATAGCTCAGAATGATTCTGACAGATCACTGAGGTGATGGTAAAAATGCACTGCTTTTTACTTTCAATTGTTTGTCAAAAAAATATGGAAAAGTCAGTGCCTTTCTGAGGCACTTCATTAATTTGTGTCCTTATTTTCTCTTTCACGCTGGTGGAGATTTCCTCAGGCTACACATTTAAGAGAAGCCTGCAAAGTGCTTGAGGGATCTGCACTTGAATCTTTTCATCTCTAGCCATCGTTAAGTGGGCCTTTGCTGCAGGCTGGCAGAGTTGGAGGAGCAGCACTGCAATGTTCTTAAAATATAACTGTATTTAATAATAACAAAGGAAGTATAAACTCACCAGTCCGTTCAGTTGCTTTTTATAGCAATGTTCCCCTGTTTCAAGCCTGCATCAGTGTAAAAGTGCGATCCTTAAATACATTTAATCTTGTTCTGCTGGGAGTCACATTTTCCAAGGAGGATCTCAGTTTCTAGTGCTTGATTCAACAATAATTCAAAGTCGCCATAAGCAAAGGGGAGGCATTATTTTAAATTAAAATATATATATTAAAGAAAGAAAACAAAAATCCAGTCGGGATGGGTTTTTTTGGTATGTGAGTAGTTTGGAGATTTTGCTCTTTGGAAAAAGAATGCAGTATCTAGAGTGCAGAAAAAAGTACAATCATCCAATGTTGCACCTAATTAGCAGTGAAAAAAAAAATAAATCTAGGCCAAGTCCAAAGCCATGGGAATTAAAGCTCATGCAGATTGAGATTCTGTGGGCTGTTTTTCCTGAACCTTTGGAGGGCAATAAAAGACACTGGAGCATCAGTCAGGTGGGTAGATGTGTGTACAATTCAGCATGGAAAAGGGCAGTTTGTGCCTTTAGTCTGAACATCAGCTTGGGAAACAGCATTTTCTATTTGTGCCACTGATTAGCTCCTGACCTGTGATGCAAAGCTGCATCCCAGGGTTCTTTGTAGGGTTAGTTTTGTGTTAAAGAAGGTGTCTGAAAGAAATGCCAGGACATTCAGACAAATTAATTACAGAGTGCAGTAGCTCAGCTGAAAGACAGAAGAGGTTCTGATACCCAAGTGCAGATTCTTCTTTCACAAAATGATCCTTGTTTTTGTGACTGAAAAGGGTGTAGTGCAGGCACTACAAGCACCCAGCAGTACATGTTGTCTATACACAGAGAAAAATTATATATCTTTTCCTTTTCCTTCTTTTTCATTTTCAGTCAGTCTAACAAATGTTTCCACTATTGGTGTCAGAAGCTGTGGTATAATGAAAAACCAATTAGATTTTTAGGAAATCTGTAAATATTTACATTCCCATATGTACAGCAAAGCAGATGTCTGCAGAATAGCAGCTGGAGATGCAGCAGATGTGCTGGACTAAAGGGAAGCCTCTTGGAAAGGGCTTTTCAGAGGCAACTTAAACTCTCCACCAGGGGTTTGAAGAAGAGAGAAATTAGCATGGAAATCTCAGGACATACTTCTTCTTTTGTTCCACAGCACTTGGCTTAGGGTGGTGAATGTTCCAGTCCCTAGGCCAGGCCTATGCCATAAAGTGCCTTTGTGGAGGAGCTCACATATCCTTGGGAATTGTGTTAGAGCAAGCAAGCCAAGGGCTGGCAGGAGGAGTGCTAGGACTAGAAACAGGATGTTCATAAAAAGTCTCAAAAGGAATCAGCTCTTTACATAAAGGGGACACTTCAAGAAAAAAAATAAATGGTTCTACAAACCTTTGAGAGGTTTGGGACTTTTTCAGTAATTAATTTCCTTAGTCAGTTTAGACTGATAAAGACCTTCTGCCTGCACCAGTGAGCATCCTGAGGCTAATGCAGACCTGGAGATGGTGCAGGGGATATCACAGGACAAAAGTACTTTTCCAGCTCATGCAAGGGCAGGCACAGACATAAGTTCATGATCATTGACAGAAAGAGTCACTCTTAATCTCAGTCCTTTCCTTATGTTAAGGAGCAGAGGGTGAATAACTGGGCCAGGAGGCTGAGGCAGTTTTGTCTCCTGCAGACATTCTGAGAGTACTTCATCCTCAGGGTAGTTGGTGTCAGTTTTAGGAGGCATGAATGAAGGAGTTTGCCTTTATTATGGAATGCAAGTGGTGGCATGGCTCGAATCCACAAAGCAGCAGAATTGCTTTTACTGGAAAGAAAATACTCCCATGCTGCTTTAGAAGAAGCAGAAGTCAATCAGGCTACCAGTAGGTCTTTGTCACCAAGTGATGGTGGTTTTCTTGGAAACCATGAAGAGCCAGGAGTTGACTCCCTGGCTGAGCAGAGAGAGGTATTGGAATAACCCAAAGATGATCAGCATTTGGAGTCTCACAAAACAACCTGCATAGCTTGAAGAGGGAGCAGTGCACCCTGCCCTTGTGTGTGCAGTACTGGGTGCCTCTGAAATGCTGATCTTTCTAGCATCTTCTTTCTATTTGCAGAACATCATCAAGAAAGTGATCGGGCAAAAATTTGTGTACAAGTTTGTCTCCTTTCCTGAGATTTTAAAAATGGATCCACATGCTGTGGAAATCAGCAGAGAGAGCCTTTTGCTGCAGGACAGCGACTGTAAGATGCCTTCGGAGAGCAGGGATCAGCACAAGCACAGCTTGTCAGCACTGAAAAGCACAAGCCGTAATGAGTATATCCACTCTGGCCTGTACTCCTCTTTCACTATCAACTCTCTGCAGAACCAGCCAGACCCTTACAAGACAATCAAAACAGAAAAACTGGAGAAGTCAGAAGGAAACACACCAGTTGAAGAAGTCCGGACTGTTATCAGATTTGTGACAAACAAAACAGACAAACAAGTTACAAGGCCCATGGTGTCGTTGCCTTCTACTTCTGAAACAGCAGCTGCCTCTGCTTTCCTCAACTCTTCAGTATCAGCTAAAATATCTTCCTTAATGCTACCCAACAGTGCCAGCATTTCATCTCCATCATCTTCCTCCAGATCACCATCTCTGTCTCCCACCTCACCCCTCCCTACAGAACACAAGAGCTTCTTCCTTGACTCCAGTTGCCACGACTCAGATTCCCTTGAGCCTCTGAACCTCTCCTCAGGCTCCAAGGCCAAATCCCCATCTCTTCCCCCAAAGGCTAAAAAACCCAAAGGCTTGGAAATCTCTGCCCCACCTATGATTCTTTCCAGCACCGACATCGGTTCCATCGCCCTCAACAGCCCCGCGCTTCCTTCAGGATCCCTGACTCCAGCTTTCTTCACTGCACAGGTAAGACCGGCCTGTCTCCAGGCATTCTTTCCATGTGGCCAAGAATGTTAGCTCTGTGGGTCTGTCACCATGTGATGAAAAAAAACCCCAACACATGGGAAAGAGGGAAACAGAGCAATGCTCTGTACAAGGGGTGGAAAATAGGTTTCTCCTGGAGTTTGTTCATAATTGAGTGTGGGAAAAGCCATCACAGTTCACAGACTGTCTGAAAGAATAAGGAGATGAGCAGCCATTAGTGAATTGTTTATCAATTCAAACCAGCCTCCAGATCTACAAAACAAACAAAAAAAGCCAGAAAGAAAACCACAGGGGTTTTGTAGGTCACAACTCAAGCATGTGGGATGCTGGGTTAGATTTCTCTGCTAGATGTTGCATCCATTCAAACAGTGTGACCTTTTTGTTAATTTGTGAGTATGGACAAATTAAGTGGTTTCTAAGATAGTGGTTTCTAAGCTCTGAAATCAGTTTCAATTTCTGAGGTTGTACAAATTTACAGAGCACTTGCCAGAGCTTCTCTTCAGCACAGACCTACTGAATAACCAGAAGGTTATTTTGTTCTTTTTAAGAACATATATGTGGTAATGTCAACAGTGAGTTCTCATTTTCAAGCTAGTCTATGAGAAAAAGCCTAGGAGTTCAGCGCAGAAGAGGAAAATCATATAGATATGACTCAGTATGTTCATTGGTGAGTTTTGTCTTCCAACACCACCTCAAAATCAGACCAAAAAAAAAGTCCATTAATAAAATGATCCCAGTGTGGAATATCCCCCAAGATGCCCAGCCCTGAAGTAACAGCTGATGCAAATACTAGCATTGAATGTAGCAAACGGGACAGTAAATAAATAAGGACAAAGGTGTGTTACAAGCCCTCATTTACTTCAGACTGCCTAGAAGGCACATAGTACCCAGAATCCCATCACCTCTTCCCTGTTTGAAGGTACTGGAGGTGTTTGATGCAGGCAGCATTGTGTGCCTGCACAGCACAAAGGCCTGGCAGAAGTCAGAGTGTTGGCAAGTGCTCTCAGGCAGCACAGCACTTTGCTCTCCTGAGCTTGTCAGCTGGCTGCAGAGCGAGGTTGTGCAGCTCAGGCACACCTGTAACTGAGATATAAAATTGTGTCACCAAGAAAGAGCAGTTTGTGGGCTGACACCTGTCATTTTTGGCATCATAAAGCCTTTAAGTGAAGTTATGTTTGGCAGGAAGAACAGAAGTGTGGCAAACCAAAACTGAGATGCACTGACAAACTTATAACCTCTAACTGTGGTATAACCACAGTATTTTTTTCATAGGGAGCAAATCTGACAACATCAGATGCCAACCAAACACAATGACAGTGTGAGTTATTTCAAACCTATCTGCTGCTGCCCCAAACCACAGGATGAACAGAGATTTGTTTCCTTGTTTTGTAATTATTTCTTTGAATATTTAACTTTCCATGCACCTATAAACTGGTGTACTTGCTGCCCTGAAAGATGTAGAAGGGAATTACATTGAGGACTGTGGCACTGCTTTAGCAGGAGGGATAGCTAAGGCTGTGATGAGTGTTACCCAACTTAAAGCCATCACAAATCTTTTCTACAGGTTGTCCTATCACAGAAGAGGCATATGGCATCTGTGTAGGGTTGTTCCTGGGTCTATTTATTTAAACTTTCAGCTTTTTAGCTTTTATCCTCTCCTTTTGCTTTTTTACAGAAGTTTTATAAAGTGTGGATAAGAAGCACCTGCATCCTAAACACTTGTCCTAGTGAATATAAAATGAAAATTACGTAGCAGCTGCATTCAGATTACTGTAATATCACAATGCAATACAACTAAAGCCATAATTTAGAGTGGAAATCTGCTGTTCATCACGTTATCCACGGAAGAACATGCATCATAGCTCAAACGTTCTCTGATTTACCAGATCTCAGTGTAAAACACCTGCTGTCAGGGGCAGGTGCCGAACAGGATGTCTGCTCTAGGAGTGATGTATATTCTGAGAAGGTACTGCTGCCTGAGAGGATATTTCAAATGGCTTTCCACTGTACCTACTGGCCATGAGGAATACTCTCAGGTAGAACGCTGTGAAAGGGCACATGTTACTCACAATCAATTCTAGAACAGAAATGTATGTGACAGCACTTGCCTGCTTTCTAACAGCTAGAAGTGACAAGACTGTACTTACATACATTGTCACAGAAGTCAGGGGCCATGAGCATCATTGCTTAACATAATTCTCTCTTTGTAATGAATTATTTCTATTTAAATTGCTCCTGTGCTTAGATTTCAATGAAGTTTTTAAAGCAGGAACTTCCCAGTGGAACTTCCACATCTAATACAAGATGTATGGCTGCATGTGGGCACAAAATGAAGTGACACATCGATTTCCACGTGTAATTTAGGGATTGCCTGTCCAAACTGTGGTGTTATTTACACTTAGGTTTCCTCTGGTGGTTTTGATGCTTGGCTGATGGCAATACTGAGAACAAGCCTGGGAGGTCCTGTGCTCTTTTTGCATTAAATATTAAACAGATTTGGACGCTTGCTTTGGCTGGCTCTTGGTTCTGGAAGAACTTGCAGACATTAGTGCTCTGCTCATTGAAGAATATGAGCTTTTCCTTAGCACTGTTTTAGGCATGTTAGTGTGCTTCCAGAGATGAATGGAGGGCAACTCAGTTTTTCAGGTCTCTCTGCAGACTGGCTTTGGCTACATCTAGGTAGGAATAAACACCTCCAAGTTTTCCTCATTATTTTCAAAAGCCCCCCTCAAGAACTGCACTTTGAGTTCTACATATCTGCAGCTTCTTAGAGAAAAAAATAAAGAATGGAGGCAGCTCACTGGAGTTCTTGGTAAAGCTGACACTTTACTGTGTCCTTAGTTGAATGTTGTTGGGTCTAGCTACTTACATCTTTGGTTTTAAGGTTAGTACGCTCTTCTGTAAGTAGATCTGAGTATTTATCCTGACCTAATTCAGTGTGTTGTCAGTCTCGTAAATCTCCACTGGTAGCTGCCTGCCAATGGAGCATCAGCTTGGAATGTGGCACAGGAAAGGGGCTCTTGCTTGGTGCTGCTGATTTCCTTCCCCATGAAAGCACCATGGTCCTGGGAAGAGTGTTTGTAAAGAACTCTTGACAAGTGCCTGCTTGTCAAGTGGTTTTTTTTTGTTTTTTGACAAGAGCTGTCACTTAATGAAATCAAGACTGAGGTCTTCTCCTTGCCAGGCTTGCACCCACTCTTTGCCCCTTTTGTTGGCTTGCAGATATATTCCAACCCTGACTGGTACTCCTGTGGCCTGCTGATTTACTGCATCAACACCTTTTGCTTTCCCAGGGATACCACAGGTTTATTGCTCCTTGGGACAAACATGGTTTCTTCCATGGGGTTTGGTGTTTCTGATCCACCTTTAGCACAAGGAAGGTGGCAAGGTCCTTTCCCTACACATTTCTCCACGAACCCCACTTCATCTGAGATTTGTTAGCAAAACCATTCAAGCCAAGATCTTTGTATTAAACAGCCTTTCAGAATCACCAAGATAACTTTAATGTTTGCTTCTCCTTGTCTTTCCCATCTCTTCTGCTGGTGCCAAACTACCTGTTTGACCCTGTTGTGAACTGCAGTGCAAGCACGTCACAGCAGGTCTGTGTTCCCATGTGCCTGCACAGAGCCCCAGACACGGCAGCCGATGCCTCGGGCGCTGCTTGGCAGATCAGTCTGTGGTACTCGAAATGCACCGGAGCCGTGGCAGTGCCTGTGTGAGCCTGCTCTCTGCAGGGTCTGCCAGAGGCAGGTGTGGTGGGCCCTGGCATCAGCAGCTGCTAAGGGAGACCCCCGGCTGCAGCTGCCCTGTGTGGGCGTTTGTATTTCTGCCCTGGTGGGGAGCACCAGAATACATGACCTGCTGGTTACTACAGGGAGGTGCAGGTACTCTCTATCTTCTGTCTTCTCTTCACATATTTTAATCTCTGGACAAAAGGATGCTCCAGTTCAGAAGAGCACTGAGGCAGTTGTTTGACACAGCACATGCTTACTTGCTGAGTGAGTACTCAAATTCCATTAAGTGCTTTGCTAAAGAGGACTGATTTTGATAATTGGCATCAAGATTACTGGTGATATTAACTCATTTTGCCAAATGCTTTTTTCAGAAGTGCCACATGTTCTTTTTTGGCATGGTGAAAGTTATTCTGGATACAGAATAATTCACATAATCCTCCATTTGAGAATGAAGATTTTCATGTGCTCTAACTCTACCTTCCCTCCAGCTGTGCTTTAAGAATGCAGAGGGCAATCCCAGCAATTCTTCTGCATCGTGGCACTGGAAGGAGGCACCTCTGAGTTGGGAAAAGTCTTGGATTCTAAGTTCTTGCCATTTTGATTCTTTTCAAACAATAGCTGTGCTCTCTGCTCTCCCGCTGGGCACCCAGCCCATACACCTGTCTCTCCCTGCTCAACCCATGCATTGCCAGCTTCTTGAAGCCTCTTCCATTACAAAGAGGCGCCATCAGGGGAGTAAACGTGACAGTCCAGCAGTGACTCTTTCAGCTCTACGCACAATTGCAGTAATGCTTCAAAAGCTGGAGTCAGGTCAAGGAATTGCTGCCCTTCAAAAGGCAAAAACTGATTCTGAAGGACACTAGGTGGTGTTGGCAGGCACTGGGGCACACATGGTATTATTCTGTATGTTACATAGTTGGGTGACTGTGGTTCAAATAAACAATAACTGTGCATCTCGTTAAGCAAACAGAAATTAAATCAATTTGCATATGAAGGAATATTAAATGTGCAGATATCCAGAGACAGGAGGCAGGGCTCAATGGGCAGCTGCTGCTGACTATGCTGTGTATCTGAATTCACTGGAAAATAGAGCCAGTGGATGCTGTGTAAGGCTTTAGTGGTGATGAGTGCTGTGTGGAGCTGTAACTCTGAGCTGTGTGTCATGGTGTGGTTTTTTTCTTGCAGACCCCCAATGGATTATTGCTGACCCCCAGCCCACTGCTGTCCAGCATTCACTTCTGGAGCAGCCTCAGTCCTGTTGCTCCTCTGAGTCCTGCCAGGCTGCAGGGACCAAACACTCTGTTCCAGGTAGGTCTTCCCAATGCACAGGTTTCATTGCTAAACACACACGTATGGAAGAGACATTGCAGGAACATCTCCTCACATCAGTCTGGAGCTTTTCAAACAGATCCAAAAAATACAGGCATTAACAGGCACTTTTAAAGAGAGGCTTACTTACTTGTACCCTCTTCCAATCCTTGGCAGCACAGTCAGAACTTACAGGGCAGTGTCTGCTGCAGAAAGCACACACATGTTGTGTGAAGGAAAGAGAAATAGATGCTGGACCCCAGAGAGAGCAGGTGACAGAGCTCTCAGAGCTGCAGGAAGAGACTGCAGACCAGCCAGTGACCAGCCAGGAGGGCTGGAACATGGACACTGGGAAAACCAAGACAGTTTGGGTGTCACCCAGTGAGGTGGGTGTAGGTTTATCCTTTTGTCCTAATGAGCTACTTCTCATTCAGAAAGACAAGGCTCTCTGAACCTGAAGGCTCCATTTCCAGTTCTCCTGCCAATTATCCATGTGCCCTCAACCAAGGACATAACCTCTGAGCATGACCTTGCCGTATGTAACAGCAGAAAGGCAGCGTTGTGCCCACTCTCTCCTGAGTATTGGCAGAGTGAAATTCTCAAAGTTTTATAGAGATGTGGTAAATACAGAAGTTATTAAATAACCCATGATGGCCACAGCAGCATTTACCTGAGGCTCAGGAGGAAGGCAGTGGGGATGGTATTTGCAGCTCCAGCTGTAGTTGCTGCAAAACAGCTGATTCACTACGTCACAGAAGAAATGATGTTGATCTCCTGATTGGCAAGGAACCCAGTGGCCATCTGCACACTGCTGAAGGTGTAAGGACACTCCTGGAACGAACACCCTGACTGCTGTGGAGGGCCAGCACTAACAGGAGAAGGCTACTGCTGGTCAGGGACCCCATGTTGGTCTCAGAACCTTAGGGAATCTGACTGCCCAAACCCAGGGCTTTAGCTCAAGACAGCTCAAGTGCTGTCTGCACTGGGATAGTCAGTCTTTCTACCTTCAGCTGCACATGACACTCAGGGCTCCTTATTTGTGTTTCAGATAAACTCATTAACCCCTACTGGACCTTAGTTTTGCACACATAGTTAGAAACAGCCAGACATTTCATCTGAGAAGTGCCTGTGCCAAGACGTGGAGTGAGCTTCTATGGACACATGCTGGGCATTCCCTGGGGGAACTGAAAGTGAGGAGTGGCCTTGGCTTTTCCTTCTGAGAGACCCAAAGGGCCTTATGTTTAATGACTGATTCAAGCAAAGGCCATGATGACAAGTTGTAGAGCACAAAGCCTTATTTTAACAGCAAATAGGAAATGAAAACCACAGCTGAATGGCAGCCAAGCCCACCGAGAAGTGACGGGTCAGCCAGTGAAGGCGTCAGGGTAGAGCTCTCCTCAGACTGCCTGCTCAGGCCAGCCCACACTCCATGCATACCCAGGGAAGAGCTTGTAATCAGGTTCTGTGTTTTAATGAATCTTGGCAGAAGTGATGGAAGCATTTCCTGACGTTTGGCATGGTTAAAGCAGAGGTATCAGCCAGCTGGGGCCACCCCAGGAGCATGGTGCCAGACCCCCTGCAGCTGCTCAGCCCAGCTCTACACCGAGTGGTGGAAGACAGGTATCACCAGCTACCATCCGAGTGGAAGAGTAAACTTGTTATGAGCAGGTTATGTGCAGGGCGTGGTTACACCACAGCTGGCTGTCCAAGGCCTGATCTGATAAGGGGTAAAAATATACCAGATGCTTGAAGTTGTTCAGCTCTGTCTCCCTCAAGCCAACAGAAACCCAGCACAGCTCATGGAGCTGGGCCTCGAGGCCAGATCAGTATCTACCACTGGGATAATTCCTGCCTCATGCTGCAGCAAGTTTATTCCACCTACCACTTTACTTTTTCTCAGGTCAGACTTTAAGAACTAGTCAATACCCTCCACTGCAGGCAAGGTGCAGTCACAATGCCGTCATAAACTAGGAACACATGGCTTCTGTTCTGGATAAGTTTTTTTTCAGTACTTCTGAAGCAGCAGGTAACAATAAATGACAACACATTCTGCTTCACCTGCTGAATGGAATAGCTAGTTTGTAGTTTCTGAGTTAAAACAGAAACTGTAATTACTTGAGAGCAACTTTCCCTATGCTTTGTATCTCCAATTGTACTTTTTTCTAAAAACTACATCTCAACTTTCACTTTTGCCAAACTCTTTCCTGCATAAAAGAAAGACAAAAAGGATGTATTGTAATTAATAGTGTGTAGATTGAAAAATATTTTTGGAAGCAGAATGGATGGCAAAGATTCCTCTGTAGTGTTCACTTTTCCAGGGTGATGATAAATGTATTATGTGAACTTTTATATAAAAAATAGCCAGTAACAGATTTTTATATCCTCATGCATTTACAAATTATTCAGGTTTTGTCCTCTCTCTTGCATTCCTAATGGCTGATGTAGGCATTTGGTAGATGTCTTACTGTATAGACATCACAACTCTTGAAACCATCTGGAGCCAGTTGCTAATGCTAAATCCATGTGCTTCTTGGGCTGAATGTTTTGAGATAAAGAGTAATTTTTACCTTTTGGTCTCTGACAGTTTCCAACTCTGCTAAATGGTCACATACCAGTGCCACTTCCCAGTCTGGACAGAGCCTCTTCACCAGTACTGCTTTCTCCAAATGCTCAAAAATCCTGATGATGCCTTATCACACCAAGGATGTACTGGTGGATTTAACACTTCATTCCTATGGGCTAGTTTTTCCTGTGTCATGAGAAGGACATTGTGAAACCCTTTATTACTATGGTTTGCACTTTTCATTACATGGATAATCTACTTTTATTATGTTAGCATTTTTCAACAGTGTTTATATATAAAAGTATATATAAATCTGTTATGCATTAAATGAATTATAATTTTTTTATATCATAGCTCTCAAGTGTTGAACACTTCTGTTGTTGATGAAGTACTTTTCTTAATGGATTGCAACAATGTATCTAACAGGGATGTGAAGCTTCTTTTTAATCCCTTTTTCTGCATATTATGCGTTGCGCTTGTGTAAACTATAACCGGCTGTGCCTTCTTTTGCATAAAGTCATGTAAATGATTTATACATTTTCTAGTATTAAGATAAAAAGTTGAAAGAAAAAAAAACTAGTATTGAACAGCCCTATGGTAGTATTTCAGTATTTTCTCCACGGATAGGCCGTATGATGCAGTGTATTAATGTAACTTTGTATTAAGTGCTTTCAAATTGTATAAGAATAGCCTTATAATTTTTCTTTGCTGAAGTGGAAAACATGATCCATGTTACAGCCAGGAGATGTAACAAAGAGTAACAAAGCCACATTTACGCCCAAGTTCTTCTGTCAAGTTGCAACAGGGAGGAACTGGGCTGTGTATGTTCGTGAGACGTTTCCAGCATTTGAGAGTACTTCTGTAGAAAATGAGACATTGCTCAGAATTTATCTGGCCTATACTTCTTACGAACTGTTAACATTACAGCTGAAAAGAGTACAGGTAATCTCTGTCCTCCCAGGGAATGAGGATCATTCCCAATAATTTCCAGGTGCTTGTTTCAGCTGTGCCAAGTGCCTTCTATGACTTCCCTGGAAAGACTATTGTGCTACTCAAGCTCTGAAGGTCACGTTTCCCCTTCCCCCAGAGCTGGAACAGTTACAGGTCTGTAAATTGATGCCTGGTGCTTGCAAAGAGGCAGAGACTGTACATGTGGGATGTTTATGTATAAACAGCTGAATTCTGGATGAAAAAACAGCACTGTGTTACTATATACTTGCAACTTGAACTTACTGGGTATGTCCTCTACCTTGAGGGGATGGTTTAGTCATCTAAATGTCAGGTTAGGATTAGGGCAGACTCCCTGGCACCACAGACTCTAATCCTGGCAGGGCTGATGCAAATCTTCAGGTTCCTGAGGTGGCTAAATTGGCTTGAATGCAGCTTTACTGTGTTGGTTTTTCAGATGAGACCTTAAAAGCCAACCCCAAATCCGATCCATTTGTGACAGGTCATTTGAACCTCAACTTTGCTTTCTGGCTGAGCAGCTGGCCACAGTCTGTTCTTTTTGAAATGTATGCAGTGAGTTGTCTGCTGATTTTCTGCTTGGATGCATTTCAGTGATGATGTGTGTAGTTATTTGTAAAGTGCTTTTGGATCCTTCAACCTGAAAGGTGCTAAATAAACATTTTATTAATGCAGTTCTGATGTTGAAAAGCCGTTTTTGGGGCAGAGGCGGTTGACAAAAGACAGCTCAGGGATTTTCCTCAGGCTCCTGGGTTGCACAACCAAAAACTACTCGTCAGTTCCACTTGCAGTGATAAAAACCTGCTGTAGCCATGTAAGTACCAGCTGATAAAGGCAGCAAGTGAATGCCAGACACGAGGAGAACAAATGAAGCACTTGGGACGTCATTTGCTCAACTCAGTGTTTCAAGAATTCAAGATGTGCCACCCTATGGAGTCAAAAAGAGAAGATGAACCTATGCAAAATTTATGAGTGAATGCAAATTTTATACAAAGTAAAGTCAGAACAGGTTGGAAGAAAGGGCAGCGTGTAACGGATGGGATTGACAAGGTTAGTAGAGATAAATCACAAGGGCTTGCAGACTTAACATTTCTCTTCCAATACAATCCTCCCAGGTACATGGAATATTTTTCAACAAGTTACAGAGAGGCAATTATTTCACACTAGAGAGCTGACTCCTGCCTCATTTTTAGAAACCCATGAATACCTACTGACACCTTTAAGGCATGAACAGTAGCAGAGTCTTGTCTTGAGCTACGTGCCACTGTAGCTCATGGGAGATACTGGCATCGAGACCATGTTTCTGAGTTTAAAAGATGAAAACATACTAGTATGGAATATTACACTGCAAAAAAAACAGTTGACCATGAGAGGAGAGAGGGTGTGACAGAGAAGAAATTCTTAAAAGTACCCAGATTCCCATGGTTTTTTTTTTTCTTTCAAGGTTTTACTATTAATAAGGCAAATTTTTTTTTACTTCTCAAAAGGCTCAACATACCCACAGCTTCCCTTCCACACTCCAGCCCTTAAATGATTTTGGACTTTTTGGGAAGTATTTATACAGATAAAGTCCAGCCTCTCAAATTTAACACATGAAACACTAGACTGTTATGCCTTATGCTTTGAAGAAATTATTCTATTGGTAATCTACTGAATTTTATTAACAGGTATCTTTTTAACTGTAGAGAAAATAAAATAAATGTTTTTAAATAAATACTGTGGAAGTGTCAATATTTCTGTGGCTAGGAGTGCTCCAAGCCAGCAGTCCTGGGGAACAAAATGGGAGTTACTCTCTTTTCAGTATTCTTGGCAGTAATTGCAATTTGATCACACTTGGGGGATTTACTACAAGATTTTCACTTTATTCAAGCTTCAGCAATACACAGGAAGTTCCCAGTTCCTGTATAGGCTGGGTGCACAATTAGGGTGTGTTTGGCTTACCTGTACCTTCTTTCTTCAGGAAAGCAAGTATTCCCCAGAAGGGCCACAGCTACAGGGAAGATTTGCCAAAAGCTTGTGCACACACCTTTGGCCCTGGCACAGGTAAACAGCTTCAGTTCTAAAGAAAACTTTCAAGGTGGGGAAAACAGTGATAGGTGATAAACTATAGCAAAAGACCTGAAACACATCCATGATGTCAGGAAAGAATGATTTGTTTTGTCTGACTAAAACTGGTCTCAGACAGGCACTTACCCATCTGGAAATACCTACCCACAAAGTGAAGAACTGTCACCAAGGTTTCTGTTTAAAGGGGAGGTGGTCCTTTCAAATGAGACTACAGGGTTAATTTTAACAGAACAACACTCTGCATTGAAAGGCTGTGTGATCTCGTGCCTACAGGAAACATCTTCAGAAGCCATCATGACACCCAAATGAATTTAGAAAAGGCACAGTAAGTACACATAGTCTTTTATATAAGGGCATAGCTATTCCCTTCTGATCTTCAGACTGTCTGTATATCCTGTAGGATAAACAAACACAGGCCTAAGATTGAAGCATAACATTCCAAAGCCATCAGGAAACTACAACTTTTAAAATCTTTTTTAGCCCCAAACTGCTTTTACCCATTAATGTGTGAGTGCTCTGCACAGATGGAGTACAAACCTATTTCTTGAGGGCAAAGAGACTGACAGCACGAGTGAGAAACAGTATGTATTTATTTAAATGAAAAAAGCAGAATGAACCTCAAGCAAGGATTCTGGAGCAATCAGCATCACAGCCTGCCTTGGGTAGGGGCTGGTATTTGAAGAAAGCATCCTAGAAGAGAGGATTCTAGGATATGCTGGAGTTCTTTTGTGAAAGATTCCCATCAGTTCACATTCACTCTGCAAGAAGCGCAAATGCATAAACGTAAACTTAATTATTCATAACATGGCTCCAAGCCAGCTACCCCCTCCTGCAAATCAAATAACAAGACAGCAAAGAAAGGAAAAAACAGCCTTTGAAAAAACAAGCTCAGGGTGTCAAAGAGGAGGGGCAGGTGACAATGCAGACGCAAGGCCTGGAGGGAGGTGCTCTTACAGGAGTATGTTGGAGAAGAGATAGGGAAGAGCATCTCCCCCGGTTTGCAATCCACAGCCATGGTAATTCCATCAGCAGAAAGATCCCACTGCAACAAACGAAGGAACTTCATAGCTCTCTGGGGAAAACCGTATTTCAAGGGAGGGCATCTGAGCCAAGTGAAACTCCTATTTCATTAGAACCATGAAAGTGATGCGCTCAGGCAGGCCTACTTCTTGAGTGTGCTTGAAGGATGCAGCCAGCACAATAAATGAAGCAGTTATTTATCACAGTAGCATGTGTGCATGTGTGCATTCATCGTTTAAGTTTGCTCAAAAGTTACAGACCTTAAACGATTTAAAGGATTTTAGAAAACATGAAAAAATAATCGGAAATCGTTCCCCTTTTCCACTGACATCAGTTTAACTCAGTTAGAGAGGCACTGCCCAGTGAAAGTCACATACAAGAGATTACAGACACCAATTTAGAATATCTGAAGTCTAATCCCAGTTCTGAAAACAGGTTCCCACTATGGCCGAGAACAGGACTATGATTTTTGTTCAGCTGAACTCCACAGGTGAAAGAAAGTGCGTGGTAGAAATTCCAAAGCCCCTGTACCTGCTTGGCTTTTATAGTTTTCACCATCATCCCACTTGTACAGTCAGAGTTTACCTACAATGTTCCAACTGCTACATACTTAAGTTTCATAACTGCATTTGTTACCTTGCCAGTCTCCTAAACTGGTTATGACACAGATACCAATACATGGATGTACACAAATGAGAGCATTAAATCTTTTAACAGCCCAATCTCTGAAAAAATAAAAAGCCCCATAAAGTAAGCATTCAAGTTCCTTTCCAAAATTAAGGCACTTGATAGAGTTGTTACATTTGTTTTAAAGCCAAAATTTCTGAAGGTAAATAAGGTACTGAAATGTGCTAACAAGGTGCATGAATTACTTCAACTCTGCTCATCAGTAACCAGACAAAATGATCATGTCACAGACAATGTAAGTTCTGATTTCTCTTCAGTGTCATCATGTGCTGTAGCTCTGTATTTCCATACCCTGATTTGTTTGGATTTCTCTAAAGTCTGACCTTAATTCTGAGTAATTCCTGGGTTTATGATACTTAGCCTGTGGATATTTACCACATACCTTTCATATATTTTGTCCTCAATAACGGAATGTATTCTTAACCTTAATTCCATTTTAACATTGCAGAACAGAAACAACGTACCTTTATTACACTGCAAAATTCATGCACAAACAACAAGCAAGCAGCCCAAAGAATGCTACCTGGCAGTTTTTCAAATGATTTGCAAATACAAAGTATGTTGATTCTTTAATAATTGTTTATTTTAACTTTTATTACCCAATTCAAGGATACACTCTGGCTACTTAATGCTGTGGTAAAGCAGCACAAAAATAACACAGCCATGTTGAGATGCATGTTCCACTAGAGCATTGCTGAGCTGTTGGTTTGCCCCTTCCATCTCCCACCCTGTCCTGTCAATCCCCATCCTCCACCCACCCTCTCTCCCCTTCAACCTTCACCTGCACGTGAATGCAGCCACATCACCAGCACCTGCCTCTGTCCTGGCTTCCAGCCCACCTGACTCTGACACACACCTACACCCACACCTTGCCAGCCCTACCCTGGGCTAGGTGGGACACACCAGGTATCTTCTAAAAATAACTACCTAAGCTCCTACAGTTCTTGGGGACAGTGAAACCAAGTCCGTAGTACCTGACTGCCAGACAGGAGGCAGAGCACACAATCCCATGGAAAGAATGTCAGAGATACCCAGAAACTTCAGACTTGCTGACTACTGCCCCAAACAGGCAACTGCCACAGAACTCTCTCTGATGATTAAAGAATTTCAATAACAGGCGATTTTAAAGAGCCCCAAACTGGCTTGACAACAGATATCAAATTTCTTAAATATGTTCTTTAAAGCTACCTCCTAATGAAGAACACAGATTCACTTGTAGGCCCTTAGAAAAAGATTCTTTATAAACAGCCTCCTTTAATTTTACGGAAGATCTTTTCATTTGTAACAAAAAAGTTGAATTCCTACTTAAAATGAAACATCCTTTTGTTAGCTGTGGCTGATCCCTTTCTAAGTTTATTAATGCACTTCATTTTACCAGGTAAACCTTTAAGTCCTTTACTCATTAGTGTCACATTATTACTTGTTCTTTTATGACCTACAAAGTATTACTGTTCTAGAAATGCTAAATCCCACATTTATCCACAGTGAACATTGAGTCTATCTTCACTACTGTAAAAAAAGATGTTTTTTTGACACTTCTTTCTTCAACACTGTCACATCTACAACGTATTTCCTACAAAGTCCATCAGTATAAAATCTAGATCAGATCCTTAGCAACTATAAAAATATATATAACAACTATTTCAGGACAAGGTTTTTCATCAGTGCCAACTGTACCTCTGCCACAGCCGTAGCGCTCGCGCTGGGATCGAGGAGCCCCGCGCGTGTCCGAGCCTCGCGTTACGCTCCCGAGGCCGTGTGACATGCAGGGCTGGCTCAGCAGCACTGAGACTGGACCATCACACTGAGCAGGTCCTGAGCAGCCTCAGCCATGGATGAGCCCTGCCACTGCCACTGCCACTGCCTCTGCACTGAATGAGCTAAAGGAGCGGCCAAAGGTGACCCTGGGGGCTCCCGCTACACACAGACCTCGCTAAATGCTGCCAACAATGCCCCAAGAACTGCAAGTTCACTTAGTCTGTATTTTTAACAACACAGGGCTTTTGTTATTATAAATTTCAAAACAAAACCAAAGAATTCCACATAATATTTATACTTTCAAAAGTACAATATTAATACAGGTCGGTCAGTTAGAAATAACAGCAGTTTGTTAGGTCTACAAGATTTAACGTAAAACCGGTTTACAAATGTTGAAAAGCAGTAGTGGTCCAATAGTCACCGTTACACATGAATTTCTCTCTTCCAGAAAATAAAATTAAAAAAAAAAAAAAATCCCAATTCAAATTTACTAGTATCAATGAAATATTAATAAAACACCCCCAAACATGCCACAATCACTATTCACAAATAAAGTTAAAATGAAATATACAAAAATTCACTTAATACTGTTAAATAACAATAAACTACAAGATTTCCTGAACAGAAATGGTAGGACCCCTGAACGCTTTACAGTGAATGTCAGGAAAAATTAAGTTACCTATGACTATTTTCATGATATACCAGCCAAAGATTTACATGACCATTTCAAAATATACCAATAAAGATTTACAGTCTCTTTAAGATGCACTAAACAAATAGGTTCATAAAGGTGAACACAAATGCTTAAAAATACTGTAACCATCACCTGATATGATACTCACTGAGATGCATAAGCATAGTAGTAATATGTTCACTATCTCTGGAAAACAGGTAACATCTAAGATCTGAAAAACTCTCTAAGTTCTCATTGTAAAAGCTCTGTAGCATAGTGAGTTCTTCTCAAGTACAAACTTGCATCTTTCCAGTTGATTTCAAGTGAATAATGCACAAATGGGAGAGCAACAAGGTGGGAAAATGTGACATTATTCCCGTGTTTGTGTAATTTGTTGTCCTGTTCCTCTGTAATGAAAAGTAAGCCAGGGTCCAACATACATGAATTGTCTTTTTACTATTTGTATTTCTAAGTTAAAAACAAGGTAAAAAAGTTATTGTTTCTGCAGGCCCCATATGCACAACAATGTGCAAATATGTTATGCTGGAGTAAGCCTGACAAAACTTCCAGCCTCCATGCTCTAATTTATCAATAACTAACATAGGATCTGAGAGCAAATCAAAATTACTTTTCACTTGTTTGAATCAACCTTCACACCATGTGCTTTTCAAAAACGTAATATGCATTATAATTTTTCAACTATTTCAACACATACTTCCAATGTTAAATAAGGAATTAAGTGCCAAGAACTTAGAGCATTAAAGATGGCTCACCTATAGCCAAGCAAAGCTATGTTTACATTCCAGGAAACACTGCAGTTTAAGAAATACAAAAAAACCCCGCAGCAGTAGAACATTTTATCAAGAGAAACAGATGCATTCACATATTATAAAGCCATTGCAACTTCTTCAGGCATGGAACTGTTGTGTTAACTATACAGACAGTAGTTATTTAGCAGCAATGATTCCGCAATAAATAATGCACTGTGTTTCTCAGTCCTGCACAAAAATTGCAGCTACAGTTACATCAACAGCTGTAACCTACTGGCTCTAGTGGCAGAGGAGACCTTAAAACCAACTGTACAAAAAATTGTCACACTGTGACAACAAATATAAAAACATAATTTGCAGGTTGGAAATAAAAAGACTCCACTGTTAAGAGGACAGTGTAGACAAACTGCGATTCCAAGTCCACCAACAGAAAGCACTGCCTTTGGATCCGAGTCCTTGATCGACAGGATAGGCTTGGGCTCGACTCTGCACTGCCCCCTTTAGAAAAGCATGCTCTGCCTTCTGTTCTTCCCATGTCCTGCAACACAACACGGACCATGGTAAGAAACCGAAGCATTTGCCCAACGGAGCGTTATTATCCAGATCTTCGTCCTACTTCAAGGCAACACCTCTTGTGCTTCAATCAGCATCAGCATCTTTCCTTTAACTGCCTTCACTGCACTGGTTTTTCACTTTGCCATCACTCACCCCCATGCAGTACTGGTTTGAAACTCCGAAGTGCTCTCACCTTCACAGTCCCTGCCCATCCCTAGTAAAACTCACATCTTTCTGAGCTTATATGTCTTATATGTATACAGGAACCTCAGTAAATCATTCTGGATTTCTTTTTCAGTATATTCACACAAACCAATATAAAAAAGCATTTTTCAATTCCAAATGCCTCTGGCACGGCATTCTTTTAGCAAGCATGAGAATATATAAAGCTTTCCATACCGGTCTCTGGGTAAGTGGAATTTCGAAAGCCAGGGTCTTTTTGCAACTGAATCTCTTTTAGACTGAATATTGAAACACCTGCAAAGTAACAAAGAAATTAATCCATATACAAATGTAAATCTATGTTTTATTGATCAGAATTATATTCTTAATTATATAGTTTAGATGAAAAAAAAAATGTTTCCAATTCACAGATATTTAAGCCACTAGATATCAGACTTTTTTAATACATTAGAGTTTTTTTCTTACACAATGTACTTAGCTTTAATGAACTATCTTAACAATACTCTGCTACTTTACTACTCCTCTTACTTTCAGGCAGAGTGTGTATTCTTGTTCCAAGACTTCTGAAGTATGCATGTTTCATGGCCTCTTCTGCTGAAATTCTCTTCTTTGATTCATACTAGTAACATAAAAGCATAGAAGTGTGATTTCCATTAAAAATCTCTTTGCATCAAGTGATTTTAAGAAAGGGAGAAAGAGTTCTATATGCTCAGTATTTCCCATAATTCACTAGGACAATTTGTTTTCATTACTTTCATTTTACACATGACTACCTAAAATTTTATTAAAATCAGTACTGCCAACATATAACAAGATTGCTAAAATAGTAAAAATAACTTCTGCAAACAGATGCAGGTCAAAACTACACCTAATCCTTATTTATAGATGGTACAATAATTAGGTATCTCCTGCTTGACATCTATTCTAGATGGAAGAATATTGCTTATTCTAGGCAAGAATGCAGACATTTAAAAAGCTGCACACAAATAAGTTACAGTGCTGCATCTACTCAAAGGTGTCAGAGTTGACCTTCCATCTTGCTTCCAGCTCATTTTTAATACAGATTCAGAGATTAAACCTGCATATCACTTCAGCTTTTGAGTACAGTTGCAACATCAAGGACTAATATTACACCTCAGTAACTCCTTCTCTACTATTAAACTAAGTTTATCATTAAATAAATTTAACATTTGTATTTAAAAGTTCTGGTTTAATACCGTATTTCACAAGAAATTTAGTTTTTTCAGGGCTAACATAGAATAAATAATTCTGTTTTTACAAAAGGCAGTAAGAGAAAAATCAGTTCTGGGGAAAAAAAAAAAACAAGCACCAGTTTTTTAATTCTCACACTACACTGGTTTCTTCTCACATCTGTCATCCACTACAGACTCAGCTACATATTCCACTTTGAGACAGAACTAAATACTTTGGCTTCTAATACATTTTGTATGTAATACATTAATATCGAAAACTTGCACTTTTATAAAGTAAAGCCACAAAACACATCTTACTTGAAGGAACTTCGCTATCAATTCAATTCCTTCCGTGTCTAGCCTAAAAATAAAAATATTTTTAAAAATTAAAACACTTATTGAATTGTATTAATGAAAGCAAAACTGCAGAGGATATGACTTAATTAAATTTTATCAAACCTGAAAATTATATCTAAACATGGAAATTCTTTTACTTAAGCAACATTTATTCATGTTAATGTGAATACATTTGAGTCCTAATATCTCAGAACAAGACTATTTGGAGAACACTGGGGACACACAGATCCTTGGTTTGGATTGTCATTTACTAAGCTTACCTGGATCATTTACTTGAATCTTTTAAATTATTTCTTTTTAGCTTAATACTACCCATTTACTAGAGGGATACAGTGTCAGATTTTCTTCAAGATAGACAACAAATACCTTTGCTACTGATTTTATTTATAATAACTGCACAGACCCTTCATCTTCCTCATTATGGTTTTAAAATGATTATAAGAAACTGCTCAAGGAAACCTGTCCATCTTAACGAACGGCCTGGGTCTAGAATATAACCAGAAGAGAATTTGTGTTCGTTAGGAAATGCTGTGTGAATTCTCTTACTATTATTAACCGGAGTTTTATCGTTCTACAAGTCATTAAGGAGCTGTGGTACCTATTAGAGGAAGTAATCACATAGTACCAGGTTCTGTTTTGCATTATCATCTCCCCGCAATAACACAACTGATGAATAGTTTTACACCATTCTGTGGCAGATTGTACTCGGAAATTCATTCCCACTTAGGAATATGCAAAGCCACAGGGATGCATATTTTCTATTAATAAAACATGAAGTACCTTGGTGCATGGTTGATGAGAGGTTGTGGTTTATACTTAGGAAAGTTGTAGTTTCTAAATTCATCACTGGAAGAAATGCCTGGCCATGTTTCTTGACATGGAGTTCCTGTATTTAGAAGCAGTAAAAAATTCAACTTAAAAAATATAAACAAACAACTTAGACATAAAAAAATGCATTTAATTCTGTAATGTAAAGGAGAAAGGGGAAAAAAATAAAATTCAATATGCCTATGTTGTGCAAACTCAGCTGTATAGTCAGCTGAATCATTTTTCACAACCGTGACTACAATGTAATAAAATATTGTTCCAAGATATAGACCCACAGTTTTCATACAAATATGGTGCGTTAACATTACTGAAAGTATCCATTTACCAAGAAGTCTGAAAATTAAGTGCAGCTCATCTTCAACAGTAGAACCAGGAAAAAGAGGCCTTCCTGATGCCATTTCAAAAAATATGCATCCGACGCCCCTTTATAAAGACAGAGAAAAAGATAAAGCAGAAATAATCCTGTAATTTCAGCTCTTAAAGATTTCTGGGATTTCTCTTCAATTAAAACAAATTATTGGTTGCTAGCCACACACTACTATTAAAATATTTAGAAAGATGTGTAGCAACAGAAAAGCTGTCAAAGACCAATCAAAACCTATGTCATAGCTATATTATATCCTCTTCCTACAGATGTTGAGGCAATCAATTTTATTAAAGCTCACGGTAAAATACCACATTACCCTATCATTAGGAGAAGGCTTTTCTTTTTCTCTAACACTGTGGGCCTAATGCTTGCTTACTCTGAGCAATAAAAAGGTACTCTGCATTTTCAGAGAGGAATAATAGCATCCTCCCAGTCTACCAATCCTTTCCCAAAAAATCTACCTCAGTTCTAGCCTACAAAAATTCAAAGGTTGAATATTTGAACGTTACTATTTAACAGCAAAGTTGACATCTTTTCAGCTTGACTCAGAACAAAAACTTGAATTAGACAAAGCTATACAAACCACATGTCAATTTGAGTTGAATACTCTGAAGATCCAAGGAGAACATCAGGTGGTCTGTACCACAATGTGACAACTTCATTGGAATAAGTCTTCGTAGGAACAGACTTTGCTCTTGCCAATCCTTGATAAAAAGGGAAATGAAGAGTCATGTACAAGTTGCTGAAAACCTTTTTGTATGAAACTGACAAACTATTTTTAGGACCTTATTATACTTGCTAAATACCATATCTTAATGCTATTTAAGGCCGTAATAAAGAGATTTCTATTGCCTTTTAGTATTTATGGCAATCTCATGGTCAGCATTCTTAAGCACAGAAGAAAGGTAAACAGATCAAAACCTGGACTCATCCTGTAAATTTCATTGAATCAGTATAGCATTGGATTGATATGACACCTCCCTGCTGCAAAACCTTCTGCACTGTTTCTGGAAAATTACATTGCAAAAGGCAGAAGGCAACAAACAACTAAATAGTGGAAACAGACCAAACCAGTGTTGGATCAGCAGGGGTTTTCCATCCTAACATCATCAATTTGTCAGCAATATCTTCAATAAAATCCAGGTGTATCATGTTCGATGAAATCTTCTGAGCAACTTTCATTCACACAGAAGGGGTAAAACCAGAGGCACAGAGCACAACTTTCAGAGGATCTCCCAGACACAGAAAATAACAGGAAAATGTGGATGCCCCACTCCACTGTAAATCCCAAGGAATTTGGTGTACCAGTGATAGTGCAACACCCGACAATTTAGCACATGAACAAACCCTTCCTCTCTCCTGTCATTAACCTGTATTAGAGCGACTGTGGTGCTAGGAGAAGCAAGGTGAGCTCTACCTTGAGGATTTGACTAAGTATCAATTTCACAGGAAGCTGTAAGACTACTTTCAAATTGCAAGTGGAGTGCCAGTGTTACCTATAGAGATATTACACTGATTACTTTACCCTGTTAAGTTACACTTTACCCTGTAAAAGGCTGACTTTCATTTTCCATTTGAGAACACCCAAATTCACTACAGACCCAATGTACTCATTTCTGCTTTTAAGGAAAAATGATTTTCCTTTTCTGAGAGAGAAAAAAAAAATGTTATAGAGTACTTTTAGGCCATACCAAAGTCTGCAAGCTTCAGTTCTCCTTTCTCATTAATTAGTAGATTTTGTGGCTTCAAATCTCGATGTAACACCTTTCTCCTATGACAGTACGCCAAACCACGAAGAATCTGATATAAAAATAGCTACAAAAGAGAACATTTATACAAATTAGACAAAAAATGGTAATCTACAGATTGCATGACTAGTTGGGCACTGGAGAGTTAAGTACTGTAATTAGGACAAAATTACTTCTCTAAAAAATGAGTTACTCTCCTTATGAGCAAATTCTGGACATTATCATTATTGTTCAAAGATTTAAAATCCTTTTACGCTAATGCACTGCTTTAACACCATACTTTACAACAAAGACTTTAAGAGCAATTTGTTCTGTTTAACTGAATAAAACCACAGGGCTGTTTATTTTTAAAGTAAACATTTACCACTGCTCTTCCCCACACTAATGTCATTAAAGATAACTGTCTCTGACTAAATACTCAAGCTCCTTTCTGCCATGGAGTCCGTTCTGGAAATGAAGCTCAGCAGTGTTTCTATCCAACTGTGCTGAACTACGTAAAGAAGGTCTTGGCATGCTACTGGAAAAATACACGTAGATTCACAAGCTTAGGGAAGATGGAGAAATGGGTAAATGAGGATTATTAAAGCAGCCCAACTGCCTCTGGTATTTACGTTCATCCCTTCACCTTGACACACACAGGTTTATTTTAATCCATTGGAATAGCAAGCCAAGCAAACAACTTCAGTCATGCACATCAATGCTGCACATATATAGATATAAAAGCAGTCTGGGGCAAAGGAAGGTTTAGGAGTGGGCAGCCAAGCAAGTTTATGTATCACTGCATTAAGAACTAATAACTTTGCAGTTTCTGTATGTACAAAGGGTCTGATCTCAAACATGGGACTTTTGGGTAGCCATTGCTGGCATTTACCACACCTATGCTACTCAGCATAGGTAATCAAATGTACAACAAAAAAATACAAAACATTACAGAAAGCAACAAACTAATCATGTAACAGGACATCTAAGAAAAACACTAGAATGTTTTTATATGACCATATTCTAGTACATTGGTTTATTTTTGCACCAAGTGACACCACCAAATTCTTCTTCATAAACTAGACAAATACACAGCAGGTGTAGTTACATCCATCTGTTCTCAGTGTGCTGACATGGGGTTCATCTGTGCTAGAAAAATAGGAATTGGGATTGATTTGTTCTGTTTTCTTTCCTTTCTGACTGCAAGGTTAGTCAAGAATGCAGATTACAGAAATTGTGGTGAAGCTTCACAGTTGGCAGAGATCCTTCTGGAAATGCACAGGATGCCATGTATTCGTTCAAAATTTTGGTTAAAGCACTAATACCTGCAGAGATCACACATATTTTCATTTTGCCAACACACAAAACCCTAAAATTAGCTGAGGAATGTGAGGAAGTGATGACAGGGAGGTCTCTCAAATGTTAATGATGACTCAAACCCCCACAGTTATTATAAGGTAAGCACCTACAGCTACCGCAGCTAAGCAGCTGTTGTGGTTTCCCAGTGCCAAAGGTACTGGCCATATAAATTTGCTCTTTGAGCATAGTTTAAACCATAGGCAAACATGGAAAAACAATTCCTTTGCTTAGCTCAGATTACCACAAGCAGATTCTGGCTTGCTCAATAACTGCACTTCTTACAAGAGTCAGGCTCCCACTTGCAGCTTTCCCTTATTTTTTTTAAGCTTAAAGCACTGCTTATTAACTTGCAGATAATTAAAAACACAAGCCTAATTACGATTTTTGGTTGTCTCTCTGAGTAGTAACAAATGAAAGAATTTCCCTTTGCAGACTCTCAGAGGAAGCAACAGAGCAGGTTATGGGCAGATGTCTTTCCCTGGAGATACTTCCAGTAATGTGACAACAGAATGAAAGGGAAAGCTCACCAAAGAGTAATAAATACCTAGCCTGAATGCCAAATCACTAATTTCACAACAGTACTGCACTCTGTTCGGAAGCTAGTTTCTAAAGCTCTAAGTATTAAAGAACACTAAATTTTCCAAATAAAAGACTGCTTTTTACAAGAGAAGTAACACCTGACCCTGACTTCATTTCAGCAGGCCAGATTGGAAACTGAGTCACTTGACCTGGCCGCAACCATAGCTAAAAGAAAAAGCAAATTAAACCCTAAGGAAAATTTTATTTCTATTTTCTCACTAATGGAAACATGAAAATTACTCTTTCTTAAATACATATTTTTGATTTCTTATTTGTGTGGTAGGCAGTGGTACCCAAAACCACATTCATAATGTGTTACATGAGGCTACATTTTCCTCAGTGTCCATATATAAATTTGAGGATATATCAAACTACAGACTTAGCAAATGAGTATAAAATAATGGAAGGACAAGAAGTCAAAAGAGTTATGAATGTATTATGTTTTAGGAATTTTGAAATTTTAGATATGTAACTTCAAAGAGAATGAAAACACATGAAATTCTATCATCTCCTCTTTCCAATGTTTTAAACACTTAAAACAAAGAAACCATCTGATGCCAATGATGATCAAATGTAGCTAAGTCAGGCCAAAAAGGAAGTTAAGTTAGAGACTAAACCATATAGCCTCCTCATTATTAAGTTCTCTGAAATTCTTAGGACAAAGCTGGAAGGCGGCCACTGTGAGTAAAATCACTCACCTTTACATTGTGCATACTCATGATGTTACCACAGTCATCCATGTACTGCTTCAGGTCCTTGTCCTACCAAAACACCATCATTGTGGTTCAGTAAAATTGTGTGCAACAGATTACATATTACTTATTGTTGGAAATGAAATGATACATCAAAGAATGAGACTTCTGCAAAAGGTATTATGTGATAAAAACTCCAAAAGCCAGGACACAAATACCCCTGGTTTTCCAGAGGATAGAAATATCCTTTTTCCAGCAAGCTGCACTGTCTCAGGCAACATTTTCTGCCATTGCCTCCTCCTCTATATATGTGAGGCACTTTATTTTATAGAATTGGTATATTCTCCAATTACATTGTAAGCCAGCTATGTCACAACAGAAAAATATCATAGGAACAGAAAAATATCATTGGAACAGTAGTGTGATTACCACTTTATACATGTAATGATTCTGGACAAGTAGACAGTTTGATCAGGCAGACCACCACTATCTGCTATTAATGAAATTCTGAAATGATCACAACAGTATTTACTAATTTACAGCAATTTATGAACTGAATACACTGCTCTCATTTTTAACTGAATAACTGTAAATGCAGGAGAAAACTCAAAGAGTCTCAGTATTTTAAAAAAGAGTACAGGATTTTGTTATGCTTCTGTTTCTTAGAAACAATAAATCAAAAGTAAATCTCTCTAATTGTTTAAAAACTTACCAGGTATTCAAAAACAAGAGTCAATGACTTGTCTGTGTGCACAATATCATGTAATGTAACAATATTTGCGTGTTTCAGATCTTTTAATAATGACACTGCAAGAGAGAACAGGAAGAACAAAATAAGTAAGTGCAAAACACATGAAAAGTAAATGCAATTTATAGTTAAAATCATCCATATAATGGATAATCATATATGTATAATCATGATATAAATAATTTTTAAATTAAAAAGCTATTTTACACAACTCACATAGATCTAGTTCATAAGAAAGGTATTTAATCAAAACACCAAACACACCCTTGAGTAACACGCTTGTATTTCCTAAACTATACATTTTGAGAGAAATAATTCAGTGAAAAGTATTCTGAGTCCCTGAAAGTTACTCACTAACAGGAGTCTAATTCAGTATTTAATCATCCACTTGTAATACTGCATTTGAGATGACAATCACCCCCCATTGAAGTAAATAAATTTGAAACAAAACTGAATATGTCTAGACTACAATTTTCTTCATCAATACTAATAGCAATTTCACTGATCTGCCATGTAGCCTATGTATTTACAAGTACTTATGGTGCTTTGGTCAAAAAGAAATCCAGAAGTATCTGAAATTCTAAGAACTAACAAAAAAAGTTACCACCTTCTCTTATGGCTGTGCATGGTGCTCCCTCTTCATGTTCCAGGCGGATTTCTTTCAAAGCTACCAGATTCTCTGTCAATTTACTTCTCCCCTTATAAACTGTGGCATAAGTACCCTATAAAATGGAAAAAGAAGTGTATTTATACAAGTTGTTCCTTTATCAGAACATTAGTCAAATAAGAAAATACTAACTTTTGTCTGAGGATCTACTAGGTTTCATTTTGGATATGAATAGTTTTTACATTATATTTTTTTAACATATGTAAATGTACATATTTTTTTAAGCACAGGACTGAACTCACAGAAGGCACAAGGGATGTATATGCCTAACAGCTCTGAAAATTACATGGAAACCTAAATAGACCAGAGCTACTAAAGAAGTCATATCAGGTAGCATTAAGTTGGCTAAGTTCACTGCTGGGATCATTTACGCTCCTGGAAGTCTCTCTCTGGCTACGGATACCTAGCTTGGCTACCTCTGCATTATGCTCCAGTTATGTTTCCAAAGGCTGCAGACATACTCTTCCACAACCTCAAAGAAAATTTGTAATTCCTCTGGATAGCTTCTTGTCTTCATTATGTATTTTTAGACAGCAAGACTCTAGAGGCATAGCAAATTAAGGCAATAAATTCTGACAAAACAGTAGACAAAATGAAACCCTGCAAATGCCACAAAAAAGTAACAAAGGTACAGAAACTGCCCTATATCACTACAGTACCATAATCCTCTGCAGAGGGATCTGGACAGGCTGGGTCCATGGGCTGAGGACAATTTCATGAGGTTCAACAAGACCAAGCACCAGGTTCTGCACTTGGGTAACAACAACCTCATGCTGTGCTATAGGCTTGGTGAAGAGTGACTGGGAAGATGATCCAAAGAAAAGGATGTGGGGATGCAGGCTGACAGCAGCTGAACATGAGCCAGTCTGTGCCCCGGTGGCAAAAAAAGCTACTGGCACTCTGGTCTGTGTCAGCAACAGGTCAAGGAAATGATTGTGCCTCTGTACTCAGCACATGTGAGGCCACACCTCAAACAATTCTGGGCCCAATTCTGGGTCCCTCACTTCAAGAAGGACATGGAGGTGCTGGAGTGTCCAGGGAAGGGTAATGGAGCTGTGAAGGGTCTGGAACACAAGTCCTGTGAGGAGAAGCTGAGGGAACTGGGGGTGTTTAGCCTGAACAAAGGAAGTTCAGGGGGATCTTACTGCTCTCTACAAATGCCTGAAAGGAGGTTGTAGCCAAGTGGGTATCAACCTCTTCTCCCAGGTAACAAGTGATAGGAAAACAGGAATAGGCTTCAAGTTGCATCAGGCAGGCTTAGATTTGACAACAGGAAATTAAAATGTTTTAAATGGAGGACTGACTGCAATATTCACAGCAGAGATGCTGACCAGCCCTGCTTCCTTCTGCAATGCTCACTTCATCCCATTTCAGTGCTTCTTGTCCATTTCTGATCCCACTGGTCAGCCTCAGTAAAACTGGAGAGGAATGACACTTGGCCCCTCCTGAATTCCACTATTTCGCTGCAAGTCAGAGGCTGACTGGAGGGGAAAAGCTGCTTCCCCCACCAAGTGTTACATATTTCACTTGGCAGCACCTGGCTGGCTGCCCAGCTCGGGTGTGCTCTTCACCAGGACATGCACCTTGCAAGCACCGGCCTCTAATCCATCATGAGTGTTCCAACACCTAAGTCATGGAAAGAGGACACCAGATTTAATGTTATCATCAAAAACATAGTGTTACCTTCAACAGAATGATTTTGTCTATCTGGAAAAAAAAGCCAGCCTATAGAAGGTCACAGCATATCTGCTAATGGAGTCTCGCTCTTCCCCAACTCTCTGACAGTTCTCCTGGTTTTTTTTTCCTTTTGCTTATTATATATGCATAAAAATTTGTGTGGTTGTGAAATTGTTGCACATGTAGAATATGTTTGGTTTACTGAAAAGGTAAATTCAACAGCATTTTCAGGGATATGGAAAATTTCAGTTAAACTTACACAAAATTTTACATATAACATTGTCATCATTGCAAAAGAAAGCTATACGTACCTCTCCAAGCTTTTCTAACTTGATATAGGTTTCCATTTTTCCAAATCCAATTTCTGACTGCAATGAGAAGAAATGGCAACTTAATCACTAAAACACTTCATTTGTACATCATTTAACAAGCTAAAGTTAATTTCAGAAAATTGCCTGACAATGCTTGACCAACACTGCACAATTCCAGTACTTTAAAAACAAATTAGCACATTATGATATAGATGCATCCCAGCATCCAAGCCCAGTGCTCAGCCTGTTGGCCAGTCTATTTTGAACCCTGGAAGGATTGTGAGCTGAGTTACACTTAGACCAAAACCTCACTTTAACCTACCTCCTACTTAGGTCTTCTCCACTCTTCTGATCTGATTACTATTAATGAGGTTGTTATAGCTTAAAGCATGGAAGTCATCTCAAACTAGTTCATCCTTTCCCTAGCTCAGCTAACCTTATTTGTTTGCTATGTTCAAGATCTCAGCTCCAAGCTTCCTCTTCCATTCTGACTTCTCAATGCCTTTTGGACTAAAACCTTAGCAATAAAATCCCTAAGCATCATTTCTCAGCAAGATTCAGCTTTGTCTCAGCAGTTCACATTTCATACCTCTTAACTCCAAATCTTTGTGTATTTTACTCAGATCTATTTATTTATCGTCTCTTTTTTTTGTCACCAATTTAGCTCTTCAGTGCAAGCAGGAAAGGTGTCCCTGCCTATGTAACACATTCATTTCTGAACACTCTATGATCATTACTCTTTTCCTGTTCAAATCCACTGCTATTCTCATATAACATGGTTATCTCATAGAATTATTTTCTCCTAAAACCACTGTGAACTACACCAAAGCTTCTTTTTGTTCCTGCAGTGTAAACAATGCTGAAAGTAAACACTTAAGTATGTGAACTTGAAGCAATTTACAAAACCCCTAAATTTATAGGCTTCCTGAGGTTATGCTTTACTGACAACTGAACACACTGCAACAAAAGAGCCAGGTTTTTTCCCCAGCATCATCCCCTCCTTGCACTTCCAAATATAGTTCTTCAGTGGCTGTTTCTTTCCAAGGAACAATCCTTTGACCCTAAGCTGTCTTCAGCACCAAGACCCACATGTCAGATGCTGATTTGCTCCTAAAAATCTGATGGATTTGACAGTTTTTACTATTTCATTGTAACACAGGGTAACAAAAACTGTTGACTGTATTAAGATTTGACAACAATATAATATTAAGGGAAGAAAAGTTTGATTAACACTTAGTTTTCAGAACACATGTATGAAAATACATCTGAACTAAGAGTAAGATCTTGTCTGCAAGCATATTTGGGATGTCTAGGGAAAAAAAGGGTGTATAGTTACATTAATATAACAAGAGCAATTCTGTTTTATTAAACTGGTGTTAGAACTGAAATGTTTTAGCAGTATAAGGAGACTTCAGTATCACACACATTTAGGAGCCTGTTGAAGACAAACTCTTTATCTCAAAATACGAGCAAAGTTGATATTTGCTACCCTTGTAGCTCCAGTGAGATTTTAAACATACCACTGATATAGGTGCCATGTTAGCAAAATAAATATTACGTTTCCAAAGTGCATTTTGACCTAGTTAAATAGACATATCTTGAAGTGAGTATTAGCTGGTATCAGAATTAAAAAACAGGCTGCTTAGTTTATGGAGAAAACGAAGAAGAACTCATGGTCTTACTATCACCAGACAGCCTGGAATTTAAAAATCTGATTTTTAAGAAACTTCAGTGTTTTTCATTAGACTCATAAACTTAATATCTGTTTTTAAAAAAATAAATCATTCAATATTTCCTACACACAGAAGACATGTATTCTTTAAGACCTGCTTTACAATGTATTTGAAGTTTTGTACACATCTCGGTTCCTTATCACTCCTAAGAAACAATAAGCTTTAAATTCCTCTAACTAAGATCAGTTTCATTTTTAGTTCAAAACAATTTTTAAACTCTTTCATGTTTTTCTGCAATATGCATCTATCTTGCCTTACAGAGAAACACTGATTTACAGTATTTATGGTCTTTTACTTCTAGTGACTGTGCATACTATACCGTACATGTACACACAAAATGCAATTACTGTAAAAACTGATTTTTTTTCTTGTATTTCAAAGAAAAACACCAAACCTAAAGTACAAGTCCTCACCTGGTACTTTTTATAGCCTTTTCTCTTTGATTCCCATTAAGTCTTGAAAAGACATGCCTTTGAAGCAGAGCATAGTATTCATCTATTATAAGTAAAACTCTGCTAGCAGGCTCTCAATAACAATTTAAGAACAATTTAAAACAAAGTCCTTGGGTTTCTTTTTTTGAAAGCTTAGTTTGAAATAGCAAATGCATGCCTGCATACCACAGGAGTGCTGGCAGGTTTCATTTTGGACTTGAAAGCCCTTAAAAACGAAAACATTTTTAAAAGGCGAAACAAAACAACCTTGTGACAGGAAGCTGATTCCAGGCACACACCACATTCATTAGAGGGCACTGTTTTTCTGTCAGTCTTCTCAGAGGTAAAGAGGAGAGAACTTCAGCAGCTCTCAGAGGTCACCATTAAATGACAGAGGGAATTCATATTTACAGGAAAAATTCCCCCAAGCCTCAAATACTTAACTCCACTGGCAAGGTTCTACTGAAAAGGTATTTTGCCAACATGTGGAGAGTTGGAGAAGTCTGTTCCTCAGTTCCGTGCTACAGCAGCAACTAAGAGGTGAACGAGCTACAAAATTCTGGCACAAGTATTTAAGCCTGATACATTATCATTTCACTCAAATATTTTCTTTGTTTTTAATACTGTTTTTGCACAAAGTTGGCATGCAGATCCCAGCTTTATTAGTCCAGTGCACTAATTTTTTTTCTTGCAGGTTAAAAATACTCAAACACTGCTTTGTTATAGATTTTATTCATAATGAATAAAAATAGTTATTTTACAGCTAATAAACCTATTTCACTATACGTACTTGCATATTTATTTTTCAGTAAACATGTAAATAAATCAAGAAAACAGCAATGTGCACTTCATAAACCTATTCAGTTTTTCTCTGTGACATTTCTCACCAATGAACTTACCCAGAATATCAGTAACAGTCTAGTAATTCTTTAAGACCTCAACACTATAGCTAAAACTGATAGCTAAAACTATGACTGAAATCTAGCATTTTTTAAAAAAAATAAGGCAATAATATTTGCTTTTTTATTATTCCAGGGATGTGCATAATTTATATGTACAAATATCCAAGTTTTCCAGCATTTATACTCTAATTACAGTATAGGAATCCTCTGTCATCTCTAAGGAAAAGACTTACTTTTTAAAATAATAACCCAATAATCCAAAAATGTATGTGAATTTATTCCTTCATTCTTTTAGCAAATCACATTTGCTTTAAAAAAGAAAGAAAAAAAACCCCACAATTGTCTCCACAGCAATTCTGAGAAAGAACTGTTACCAAATACAACAAGAGCAGTGAGGAGGACCTGCCTTCATATTATGCTGCTTTAGGGCCTTCCTACTAAATCACGAGGGGACCAGCCCTGACCTAAGACTGTGTGGCCGATTTGCTCAAACAGATCATCCCTGCTCTAAAAAGCAGAAGGATTTAAGTATGTACTTCTGGAGTTGAGTTTAGCCACTGACTTCAATAGGTCAAGACCTCCACTGAGAAATGTGACAGCACCAAGTCAGCAGAAGGAAAATGAAACAAAAGTGTGAAGTTCTTCATTGGATTTTGACAAGTACATGCTGATGGCTCAGGAATAAAAAGTCCAAGTAGAAATGAAGCTGAACCATACCTGTGGAATACAGGCCTGTGCATGAAATGGACTGTGAGGTGCTGAGAGGTTGGTGAGAAGGGCAGGTGCATTACACTTACTAGGGATGCTCGACGAGAGCGCCGACTCATTGGCTGGTCAAAGGGCGGGCTGTTAATCTGCAGCTTCTCCAGGTACCCATCGGGTATCCTGATGTCAGCAGGCAGGGACAAGCGCTTGTTCAAATCCTGCAGCAAATAAGGTTAAAAAGAGAAGGAAAAAGTAGAATTCAGAATTTCCTAAAACATTTTTAGCATCTGTAGTGTTACTATATAAAACTGAAATATTTATACAATGCAAAATAATCTCACAGAAATGGTTTTAAAAGCATATTCTCTTCTTAAAATAACTCAACTTGCTTATATAACAGCCTGTGCAAACTTATTACTCTGACAAGAGGAATGAAATATTAAAATGCAAATAAACCATTGTGGATAAATGCATTGAGTTTACCTGAATACTTATAGAGACCTGGAATACCAGAAACTGAGAATTCAGAGGCTTGTGAATGCATTTCTTTTCATATAGCATTTACTTTAGTATAAGAAGAGATTTCCATAATTCAAAATGTATCATCCTCTCCTTCTCTCAACTACAAAAAGCTACAAACTTAGTCCATTTTTTCCAGTCTCACAAAAACACTTCATTACTTCACTATTAGAGCCAACTACTACAAATATTATTACATTTCTTTTATCTCTAACTCTTTACTACAGGATCTTTCGAAAATGAAAATGCCATTATATGAAAGCTGTTCTCTCTGCAGCAGATTCTGTTTTTCCCCAGTAAATTTTTCCAACAACAACATACATTATTTCTAAGACAAGAAGGAAACAAATTCACTTCATTTTTTAGCAAATGGGAGGGGGAAAAGAAGATTTTTTTGGGGGGGTGAATGCACATTCTTAATGTTTTTGTTTTCAGTTTGGCTTTAATCTCAAACATGCTAAGAAACAAAAATATTAAATATTGTGTTAAAAAGGCCAGTCACCATCTCAAGAGATAACAGGACATCATAGCTAGACACACAAAAAATGGGAAGTAATTTCTGAAAGAGTGGTAGTTGTTTTTCAGTGTAGGTAGTTTATCCAAGTAAAGAGAATCATGCTCAGCATCAAAGTGTACAATTCCACCCTGACGTTGAGGACATCTCTGGAAGCACCAGAAGTTTTCACACTCTTCTCCAGCACAAGAGGTAACTGGATTTCTGCTGGTAGACCTGAGATTTAATCAATACTGACCTGAGGGCGGTAAACCCCTCTCGAAGGTACTCTTTTCTGTCTTACCTATCACCTCCAGCTGGGCATCCTGAGCTAACCCAAATGTTGGCAGCTACATCCCTGTTTCGTTCCCCTCAGGCTTGACCATGTGCTTCCACTCATGTCTGCAGCAGCTTTGAACTATTCCAGCATGTTAAATCATCAAGAAACTCTCAGGCAAAGTGCATAGCTTCCTGCCAGCTTTGTGCTCCAAACAGGTTCAGTGTAAGGTCAGACAAGCTCACAGCCTGAACGCAGGGCAGGAGAGGCACAGCAGGGCAAGCCCGAGAAGCCGGCAGCCAAATTGGCTTAAGGCTGACAAAGAACTGGATCATCAGACTTTTCAAGACTTGAGATCTTGGTGAACAACTTGCTAAGCTTTCAGTGATCAGAGTGTATTCGAACCATGTATATGCATGACCTGTACACATATACAGGCAGACATTTTTGGAGAGAGGCCAGCAAAGCTCTAATTTCTGGCAGCTGATCCTCCTGTTCTTCTTCTGCTTCTCACACCTCCTAGGTACAGAGCACAAAGTCTGTTAGCTTATACTTCGCTGCTTCTTTGCAGCAACTGGAAAACTCAGTCTCTGTTTTTTTTATCTAGTACAGGATTGTTAAATTGTCTTTAAACAAATAAAGCGCTGTTCACGGAGTGGCAGCTTTGACCAACATTTTGAAGCTAAATTAAAAGAAAACAGCAAGTATGGCATTGTTCTGGTATACTTTCTAGTTTATTAACTCGTTTTTCAACTTGCATATTTTAGATTTTTTAAAATATTGGCAATTGTAGAACTGCCTGTGTGGTTTTTGGGAGAATGGTAGAACCGACAAATTTTAACAGGAACCACAAGTATTCCCTAGAGTAAAACAGTATTTTCTACTGCAGAGTTTTCCTTCTTTTCACCAGGCTCTGCTAATGCTTCTCTCCTACGAAAGAAGGTTTCAGATTATGAAAAAAATTATTTCATCCTATAATTTACTGCATTTTTCAGAAAATTCTGGTAGCTGTTTACAACAGTTGAGCACAAAGGAAGGCATGCCCTGTTGGCTTAAAGAAAGCAGCTTTGACATCTCACTGCAGAGCAAAGCCATGAACCTGCTAGAATAAGACAGGGATGACAGGAAAAGGATCAGCATCAATTTCTACCTCCCCTTTCTAAAGTAATCCCAGATCAACACTGGGCCGATATACCAGCTTTTTGCTTTTTCTGATGGCTCAAGAACAATTTGATAAATACCAAAAGAACAAAAGAAACAATCAATGAGCTGAGTTTTTCAATGTAACTTCCTGAACACAACAGATACCACCATTATACTATAAACTCTGTGACAAAATAGCTTTTTCCTGCTCTTACCTATTAACTCTTCCGGCACAGAAACCTATTGTAGTGCTCTCATTGTCCCATGTTTACAGGGATTTTAAGAGAAAATGTTTTATAGGGATATTGAAGTTATGGACCTCTACTCAAAGGCCTCAGGAAATACTGACCAGATTATATCCCAAAGCTCTCAATACGCATGTTCTCTCCCCTTACAGCACTCACTGTTGGCACAGCTGAAGCGCTGCTTCAAACCCACCTCCACAGCCTCCAAGAAGCATTCCCAAGCATACAGAGTTGATGAGTATAGAAGAAGAAGGAAGCAAAGACAGCCTTTATGTTGCAATGGCAATTTGAAAACTATGCCATTAAGTGTGCACTGCACCTGCCAGCGTAAACACACACCTTTTCACATGGAGGGCAAGGGAAACTAAGCAATTATAAGATTCTACACAGGTACAAAGAATCCATTACTTTGAAGCCCAGCTACCACAGAAACAAGATAAAAATATTTTAGGCACTGAAAATATGATAATGGGAGGTAGATGTAATTCTGCTACAGAATTCCTATTCCTTCATTCTCAAAACCTGTCTATGTCATTTTTGCAATAAGCCCCATGACTTTACTTCAGAGATTCATGTGACATCCTCAGTTCTAAACCAAGTTCTTAAGCTTTAAACTTACATCTGGTGCTTCACAGTAGGTAGTAGTGGGTGTAAGTACTTACTGCTGCAAGGGCCAAAATCTGTTTGAATTCAGGTAACCCCTCCAAAAACAGTAATTCATTTTTACATGAAACAACAACCCTCATCTCCATCCCCTGCAATGTCTTTCTTCAAAAAAAACCCTAATTAACATACCACAAACTAAGGGAAAAGGAGATTTTTTTTTTTGTTTTTAGAATTAGAATACCTGATGTTAGTAACACTTCTTTCCCTATATTTGTAATGTAGTAGACAATACATGACAGCTGCTCTTTTTCTCCCCTCAGAAAAAAAAAATAAAAATTATGTGCTGAAACCTAAATTTTTGACGTGTTATATATAAGATCAAAGCAGTATCTATTCCCTTTAATTTTCTTGAACTGAAGAAAGGTTATTTTATGTGACAAAACCATAATGATTTCATGGAAACTGCAGTTGCTACTTTATAGATCTTTCCTCCTAATGATTTACAGTACAATACTTCCAAAACTCATGCTTATTTGGCTAACCAAGCCAAGACTTCCTTTTTTAAAACCACACAATAAAAATTGTTACCTACCAGCCAGAAATGGCTTTATGATACCAATATTTGAAAGATTATAGAATTATATATAAGAAGTCTCCTTTGTATTACAATTTTCATTTACCTAACTCCCTAAAATAGACAAAATTGAAGAAAGTAATTTAGAGTACAAACCTAAATACCTGAAAGAAGGAAATTATTATGTTGTATTTGTCTGTACCACCTTAATTCCTCCCAGTTTTTGCAATAATTGAAGCAACCACCTCTTGGGAAAAGCAAGCAATTATAATTAAATGCTATACAGTAACATGAAAGGGGATTCATTAGATGTGCTTGAGAGGAATAAGCGCAACATTTCCTAGTGGCTAAATAGAAAAACTGGAAATTAAAATTACATCAGTCTGACACAGTAGAAAAACCCAGTTAATTTAACTGAGATAATGTTAAAAGAAAAGCAAGAACCTACCACACACCTACCAATTTTAAGCCTTAAGTATTCAAGACCAGGGAGTCTGCTGACATTCAGGCAGCCTGGTCATCTGATGGCAGCAGGACAGTTGTTCTCCCACTGTGGGCAGCCAAGTCTTCACATAGTGTAGCACTCTCTCTCTGCTCCCGCAAAAAGCAGAGAAGACTGAAGGATGGTGAGACTTGTGGGTTTAGGTAACAGCAGTTTAATAGGAAAAGCAAAAGCTGTGTGCCCAAGCAGAATGGGAAAAGGAACTAATTCACAGCTTCCTATCAGCACGCAGGTGTACAACTGCCTCCCGGAAAGCTGGGCTTCCGCATACACGTGGCTCGAGAAGAGAAATGCCATAGCCACAAATGTCCTCCTTCCTCCCTCTTGCTTCAGCTTTTCTTGCTGAGTGCCACGCCAGATGGCACAGACTAGCCCTTTGGCCAGCTGGGTCAGCTGTAAAGCCCAGGAGAACCAACCTGTTTCCCTGCTGGTGCTGAGCAGCCTTTATGGCGAGTCTGGCCTCGGTGCAGGAAGCCTGGACCTGCCCGTTAGATGCGATCAGCATCTCCGCTCCCTCTGCTGCTCCTGCAGCCATCCCACTGCAATCCTGCTATTGCTGCTTTACCAGCAGCAAAACCTGCCCTTCCCTTCTAAACCACATGGCTTACTGCTGTTTTGGTGTGACACTAGCCTGGAGGGCCAGCAACAGCAGGAAAAAGATTTTTAAGAATTTCAAATTGTCTTAAATCTCTGTGGAATTCTGTGAAGCAATGAGAGACTTTCTCGACAGAGAACTTTGTTCACACTTCTTTCAATGACCAACTGAATACAGTGACCTGTTAGCATTTCCCACAGAAAAGAAAAAACTAAAAAAATTAAACCAAAGTATAAAACATCTTGCTACAATGCTGTTTAAAGA